AACTTTGAAAACTAACCGTATCAAACAGTTTCACCCATGTCCAAGCGCTCTACTTGGTTTATTTCAGACTTTTAATGTCGCTCTAAAGAATTCGGCGGACTTTACCCCAAGAGATGTTTGAGAGACAGTCATAACTTAACGCCCAAATAGCAGTCCTAGACGAAAGAAGACAATTGGGATGTGTACTTCCATAATAAACTTAATATTTTTTCCAAATGATATAATAACTACCGATACACAAAAATAACATTTATCAATTTATAACTGCTGTATTCGTTCTTTACAAGAAGTAAATGAGAATATTTTAAATCATATATCAAATAACAAGCAACTATTTACTGAAGCGGAGGCAGCTAGAGGTGGACGTGCACCGCTAGCCCCTGACATTGAGGTAAATGCTTGTTTTAGTATGTACTAAAATAGTGAGATAACATAGCACAAAAAAGATGATTTTAACTCGTTTACTCCCGCTAAGTTTACATTATTGTCGGGCGCAAATCTCACGAGCGTAGCTTGGAGGTGGATAACAAAGGATGTTCGGAGTTTGAGAAGCCATTCAGTGTGCACCTCCAACGCTATCCACTGCTTTAGTATGTACTAATAAATTTTATCAGTAATTTTGCGGAAATGACATCTATATAAAATCATAATAAAAAAATAAATTAAGAGTAATTATACAAAAATAATATTAATAACTTAAAATAACTTAATTTTGTAACATTCTCGATTCTATACTCAACAATTAAATGTAGGTTTGTCGATCTCTATCCATCAGTAATCATATGATTTGACATTTTCAAAAGAGTACTGCCCAATTGTAAATGTAATTTGATAACTGAATTAAAGATCAATAAAAATACAGATTCAACTGATCAATAAATTCACTGTGAAAAACTAACATATATATGTTCAAATATATATTCTTCTACGCTCGATACCTAGTAACCTTCTTAAATAACTAAAATACCTTCTTAACTTTGTTTAAATATAACCTTCTTATATATTTTCCATGAAAAAAGGTTATAATAAACGGCACAGATGCGAAATGTACTAAAGCTTCTTACGAAGTTAAACCCAGGGCTTAAATGCGGCAGTTTACGGTAGAGTTACAAAGTCTAAGTTTCAATCTTCTTTTTTACTTGCTACGTAAGCTTTGTTGTAGAAGTTGATGAAGAAGGCAAAAAGAGAGCACATGTAGCCAGTCTGTAGCCACAGAGGACCATGTGGGAATCCACAATTTTTTTGAATAGCATTGGATGTGTGTAAGATAACGCACAAGAATTGGATCTAAAACGAAAAGGAGAAATATCTTGATTAGGTATGAAACATTGGTCCCCCACAACAAGACTAGAAAATTTGCGAAAAATCAAATGCGTCGATCGTCAGGCACGATTCCTTAAGGCATTTGGAGATCAATTCAGCTATTTTTGACAGTTCTTACTAAGCTCTACAGTACAGTACATGCTACAGTATGTAGCATGTAGAAAAAAACGATAGAGTCAATTGAAAGCGACCGAGCAGTACTTTCAAATGGTACTTTATGTGTAAGGTTGTAAAAAACGTTCAGGTATTTATATGAAATCATAGAGTTTGACCATTTAATTGAAAGCGCCTGAGCACTACATTCATGTGGTACTTTAAGTTAATTTTTAGGTGTAAGGTGGTAAAAACGATCAGGTATATAAAATCATAGATTTAGACCTTTAAAAGCGACTGAGCACTACATTTTTATGTAATTTTTCTTTAAATTTACATTCATTTGTTATGTCCCTATGCCCCTATACTGTAGTACGACTGAGCACTACTTTCGAGTGGTACTTTAAGTTACTTTTTATGTGTAAGGTGGTAAAAACGATCAAGTTTGTATATAAAATCATAGATTTAGACCTTTTAATTGAAAGCGACTGAGCACTATATTTTTTTGTAATTTTTCATTAAATTTATATTCATTTGTTATGTCCCTATGTCCCTACACTGTCGTATAAACGGTCTATATGCAATGACCGTGAAGTCTTGTTTCTACTGAGAATCACACAATATTCCCCCTAATGTTGCAATGCAATAGCTATATTGACTGCAAAGTTTTTTCAGGACTTCCTAAATTTCAATGGCCTCGAAATCTTACCATGAAACGAGCGATTAAGAGATTATCATGAAAAAATTGCACATCATTTTGAAAATGAAATTCATCTGATAGCGATTCTTTGGCTTGGCTACATATCATAATCACACTGATAAAGAAACGTTCTGGAACGAATTCGACATGCCTAGATAAACTAGTAGATCTCAATGTGCACACCTGCCTACTTCTACATACCAAAATTTCATGCAAGACGATTCTATTTCCACCATGCTTAAGGTTGGTATCACATGATTGTTAAGAGTACTTCTCGACATACCAAACATACTTGGCTGCCATTTTGTTACTTTAATTATTAATTCAAATTAGAACTAAGCCACATGCTCTGAAACTTTCTCTAAACTTATCATGCACCTACTATAATCACATACTTCATAATGCATGATGCCCATTGCATAATGCACTCTTTAATGCTATCACATAAGTGTGGTTACTTATTCTGCAATCAGCTCGGCAATCAATTGCTAGTAGAAATCACAAATTTGGAGCGGTTTTCAAAATAGAAGAAATGATTCACCGTGCTCTGACCAGGAAATTAAACACAACTATCTGGGGCACTATTTACTCGGACTTTTTGTTGTCAGGTAAGACTGAATGTAAAAGTTTGCAAACAGTGCGATCAGAGAGATCAAATAAATGCCATTGAGATACAACTGGTTTCGACTGAAAGCCACCATCAAGGTACAGAGCCGTAGAGATCTCTAACAAAATGAGCATAAATTAAATCTGTTAGAGAAACAAAATCAGGAAAGAACAAATTTGTCACGCTTTGGTTGCGACGAGATACTTTAAACAGGGAGCTTGGTCTGTTAACTGGGCTGTACTACAATAAATGGATACATACAAATTGGTGAATTTTTTCAATTTTTTTTATTCAATCTTTGATGTTTGTAAAAATTCATGCATATACATTAAATGATAGCATTTCATGAAAAGACATTTTCCAAGTAAGAGGTATATTTATATATTATAAGTCAACAAACGGTGTTTATAACTTTAAACTGGTGAATAAAACCTTAGTGTGTGTCACCATTCAAATGAAAACTACTGGGCAGTACAATCACGTAGTATCTCTGTGCATTATAATCAGAAGGTAGTTGGAACTTTTAAGTCTGTAGATAAAACTCGCGTGTAAGACAATTCAAAGAACCTGACGTGCAACAGGTAACGTGCGGAGAATCTCGCGAGAGTACCGGTGGTAGTGGAGAAAAAGCCGAAAGGGATGACGTTACAGAGCCTTGGAGGAACCAAGGTGGCTATGGAATAAAGGAAAGGGGGGTTTTATACATAATCTTTACCGCGACTGTGATATTTGTACACGAGAATGCTTAAACTGATAACTGCAAACATCTCTATCGCGCGTGATACTGCAAGGAATGTCATCTTTAATCATTTGAACACCGTGTCTAAGACAAACTGACAAACAAAAAGACTTCATATTAGGGAAGCTTTTGTTTCACCAAAACACACCTTTCGCTTAGTAAATGTTCTTAGCAATGAAGCTGAGAGTAATGATTTAAACAAAGTAGATTTGCGCAGCCAATCGTTCTTTTTTAAATCTTCAAGTTCTCTGACTGTTGTTTGATAACTTAAAAATTTTACTTTTAAATAAAAAAAATTACGTACAGAAAACATCCGGCAGAGAAGTGAAAATTTAATGGAAGGGGGAAGAACAAAAACTCTTATCCACTACATTAATCACTCGGATTTTTTGTTTTTGTCGAGGTAAGATCTAATGTAGAAATTGGCAAACAGCACAAGCAGGGAGAGTGAGTAAGCCGCACATACATACAGCAGATTTCGACTGTAGCCGCAATCAAGGTGCAACGCCACACAAATCTCTACCAAAACAAGTACAAACTGAGTCTGTTTAAAGAAACAAAACAGAAAATATAAGTCAGTTTCGTTTTGGGCACCACGAGTTTCCTCCCGTGAGCTAACAGAGAAAATGACGTTACTGAGAAATTACGGATACCTTGATTCGAGGAGAAGTGTTCCGAGCGTATTTTTTTAATTACATTTTTTTTAACTCCTTTTGCATAACAACAGTATTTTACTGCTGCAATACGATGATAAAAAGTTCGAAATCTATTCATGGTATTGAAGGCCTACGAATACCAAGATTTAATCGTTTATTTTGTTGTTTTTGTTTACTTGTCGTTGTTTTCTTGGATTCCCACAGTCATTTTTGATAATCATTAAAGATTTTAATGAGTTTCGTCAATCAAATGCTCAGTTTTACAACTCAGTTTTTTTTTCATTTTTCCCCCGATATTAAGAATTTAAGAATTACTAGCATTCATTTTTCATCGACTTTATCTTGAATGGCTAATAAAAAAAAGCATTTTAACTCATGAAGATCTGATTCTTTATTCTTTCATCTTGCATTTGCATATTTATTTTAAAAAAGTTATGAGAAATTTGGTGTTGGATCACAATAATTTCTACCTGAAAAGTTTGAGTATTCTCATTACTTGTTGCTGAATAATGTATGAATCTTATAGGGAGAGGTTACATGTTCATCAAATCCAAAAATTGGTGTTGGAAAAGTGCACAATGGTTTAATTAAGATTGAAAAGTTCAAACACGCTACCAATTTTATTATCGAAAGAAGTGTTTTCAGTATAACTTACAGAGCCACTACTGTTAAGAGGTTACCAAAAGAAAACAAAAAAATTGTATTAAATGAAACGAACGATAGGTTTAAAACAAATTCAGTTTTAACAATTAGTGCTCTGACGAAGAACTACCGCTCGAGACGTCAGCTTGAAAGACTCTTTACGGTGGCCAATTTACACCATCAACTCAGTTGATTAAACCAAATATTTTGCAATACCTCCCCACTGACGCAGCACCACAGTTTCTTTAGAAACCTTCCCTCTTTATTCAATGGTTTCAACTTCATACACTTCTAACAATCGGCTTTTAGAACTAACGCAAGCAAAAACGACAAAAAATTCAGAAAATATTGGTCGTTTCCTGCAATTGGATAGGCCGGTTTTCTGCATGTTATTCCGGTAATAGAAGTTTCAAGGTAAAAAGAAAGAAAAAAAGAGAAACGTTTTTATATCGGGGCTTCGTACTTTTTTTTTTTTGCAAACATCAAACTTATCGTAAATTAATTTTACATACACCTTGCGATCCGAAAAAACACGAATATCGTTTACACTGTATGGAAGTACAATAAATGTGTAACTACGTACTTATTGACTGAGTTAAGGGGTCGAACGGGAAAATATTTTCCTCATGGTCATGACGTACGGTCCGAGCGCAGCCAGGTTCGTGCGTCATGACCGAGAGCCAATTATTTAAGCTCGCATCTGCCTGGGTTGTATGGTTTTGTACGGCCCTGCTTAACGGCACCACCACGTACGGCCCTCTTGCGAGGATTTTTTAACGAAATTTTTTTATTAAAGGCACGTGCGAGGCTGTACGGGTCGCATAATAAAATATTTTATGTAAAAGATATCATTCTTTGTTCATTCATAGGGTTTTCTACTGCTACGACTTCAAAAATGTAAAATGGTTTGCCCAAAACAAATTCTGTCTTTCTTCCATTCAGTTTCCCTGATAATTATTCTTCAACTTTGTCAACCCATCACCGTTAAATAAGAAATTAAATATCCAAAATTTACATACAAAAATAATTAATTTGAGTGACATTTGCTCGTCCATTCCGGTATCCAGTCACGCCAGTCCAGTCTACGCTTTCTTTTTGCCGCTCTCTTTATTACTCCTATTTTGCAGGTAGGTTTTTATGTAAAAGTTGGTGAACAATCCCATCATAATGAAGGTGTAAAACACCATGACCCATTTCGCCCAAGTTGGATATTTACAACCGTGGTCCAGCAAGGAAAAAAAGCCAGACACTATGACCACGGCGAATTGCGTCTAAAAATAAGAATGAGACAAACAGGCCATCACTACACGAAACTTATTGCACACATTTCTATTGAAATCACGACGGCTAATCAGAACAAAGGAAAGTATCACAAGGGAACAATGAAAGCTCCTGATTGGCCGAGTGTCTAGCACAAGATTGCAAGGTCAATCACAAAACTCTGCAAAGCAAACAGTTGGAACAAATTATGTCCAATTGAAAAAAACTCCGAGGAACAATCCTGTTTTGTGGAAAATTGTGAAATCTCAAATGTGTTATACCCCTTCATTTTGAACAATATGGCCAAATAAGGAGACTTGCAACTTAGTTTGAGAGTTGAAATTACTATGAGAATTTCCCCCACGGGTATTAAATAACCTAGCAAACAAGAGCAGCAAAAAGGAAGCAAACAATATTGGCCTCAGAGGTTCGAAGCCTTTCCATTTCACAGAAGTATTCCAGTTGTTAACGACTACCCAAGGACAATGTACCGATTATAGAATCTTCAATAATTTACATAGTTTTAGATTATGAAAAACGTTAAGCTGATGAAATCATGTTGGGCAGTTGTGACTCAAAATAAAATTGGCATATTCCGCTCCTATTAACAAAATAGAGCTTGCTATCATGGCATTGTTCGTATACTGAAAAAAGAAAGACACTGTAACTTTCAAGTATTTCACTGCCAAAGCATATTATCAGTTACTTTTCAGTACCTCACTCTCCTAGGAAACTACTAGTATTAGTACAATTTTTTACAAGTATGGAGTTTCGCTGCACGCGATGCAGGCTCCGCTGTTAATTTTGGATTTCTTTCTACATCAAGAGAACGTTCTATGAAGTCACATCAGCTGACTGACATATCTACCTGAAAAAGTTGTTACAAATAGCTCCTACAGAATACCTACATAACTAAATAGCAACAAGTCCAGAGAACTTTTCCCGAAAACTTCCACACATAAACCTGTACGGGATTCGCCTTGATATAAAGCAGCGCTATAACGCTAAAGCATTCACAGAGTGGCGTCACCTTGAGTTTCGAGAAATCATGAGATTACTATTTTGAGAGAAAAATCAATCTTTGTATACTGTTTCCAAATTTTTTTCCCAGACTGATATGTTACTATGTAATAGGAAATATAAAGCAGCGCAAACACACAGTAAACGCTATGCATTGCGTATCTCCAATGGTCACAGGTTTGTCGAGGCGAATTCCTTGAGTTCGGCAACACATTTTTATCAAGATCAAAACTACCCGCTGAAAAATCGCGCACTTGTTTAGAAATGATTAAAAAAAAAAAAGGAAATCCCACGATTCTGATCCAAAGTATGCACAACAAGACTTCCTTCTCTAAGAGCTCTAGACTGAGAAACTAAACATACATCGTATTCACAGATAATGACGTTAGCGTCTCGCTCACTATCCTCATAAACCTAAAAACTTAACATGAAAAGAGTGCTGCTCGTCGATAAAAACAAGTTCCGTTTAGCATACCTGTACTTGTCGAGAAATTCCAACACCATCCCAAAGACGACTCAGAAAGTTACATCAAATGATCTGATTAATGGATTACCTTTGTCGAGAGTATCATATTTCACCGAGGTATTTATGATGTTATCACTTGTATTAAAAGTTTTTTTTAATCAAAAAGCCGCAATACCCTGGTATAAAGTTAAAGTTAAAGTTAATTTCAAACGTGAATGAGTTAATAAGAGACCAGTCAAGGGACCGATAATGTTAGAGTTTTATTAAACTTTACATTAATCACTAATTCCAGTTAACTTATTCTAAGTAAAAACCCCACGAGTCTTTCTTAACAATTTTTACGGCTTCTTCACACTTGTGAGATAAGCAGAAGTTTTTTTTGAGGAGTTCAAGAATTTTTTGTGCCTAACTTCTGGCAAAGCGACGTAATATTCGATACTCACGCAGGTAGCGCAGAATAAAGGTTAACCATGTTTTGTACTTTTATCCTTAATTAATTAGGGATAATCGCTAGCAAGTTCTGATCCCATGTAGCTGTGCATGCCAGGGCCTTTTGAAGATCATCCTCTGCTGTTGTTGATATATTTTAGACTGAAGTTTTTGCATATGAAGTTGGAAAATAATTGACAAAAAATAATGAACTTAAACCGCGTGGCTAAGTTAGGCCTCTCTCCCCTGAGGATTAATTTCACTGATCAGACGCGCCAGGGAAGAAAATCAACTCCGCTTTTGAGGTTGGCTCCTACTCCTGCGCATCGCACAAGTGTTAACAAGACCGTCGACGGTTATTCCACTGGTCATATTAAAGCAATCAGTAAACAGTTATAGCTTAACCTGTTAACTTCCCAGATCTGATTGTTAATTCTCTTCCCTTTAGCTGCTACAAATTTCCTTGCAAATTAGTCACAATAATTTGGTGTTAGAACAAGATAAAAACTTGACATAAGTATTGAGCATTTGCTGAAAATTATGTGGACGTTTAAGAGAGAGGTTACATGTTAATCGCTTCTGGGAGTTAAAGGGTTAACGAGATTCCTAGCCAAGAACAGCTGCTCAAAACACTTCAAGGAGACCGGCTACACCACGGTAGGTAAACCCGCCTTTTGGTTCTTGCATGAAAGGGGATGTTGTAAGATGTAGAGGTTAAACAATTAAAGTAATCCCACTATTTGGTAGTCAAATGGAGAGAATAAATTCTCAAGACAATTGCTAAATTGGTTTTTAACCATTTCTGACAAAGTTATCCATCGGATACCAGTCCATGAAAAAAGTAAAGAGAGAATTTGTTCTATGTGTTCAATATCGCACACGATTGGTTGTTGCTTCGCACGCCCGAATGATGACCAATAAGAGACGTCGTACAGTCCTCCGGGGATTGACGTCATCAATTTGATTTTAACATGTCAAATCACAGGCCTTCTATGAACGCACCATGCTGTGTCACGCGCACAATTTAAGGCCCAAGCTCACACAACCGGCTTTGCGTACTTTTCCTTTGTTTGCAGAGTCTTGATTGGCTTATCATTTAATTCCCTCGTGATAATTCTCCACCAATCGAAATTTACCCCATGCATTCAGAGTGACAGTGGACTACGCCTACTTATAACAACGAGTTCTAAGTCGAAACAAATTTACTTACCAGTTGAAGCTTGGTAATGTAACGCTTCCACCAAAGGTAAGGCCGCATTTGAGGACCGATCGCAGACAGACCATAATAAGCATACATGATCACGTGAACAAAGCTATTGCATGTAGCACCGAAGTAAGCTAGGAAGAAGAGAAACATCACGTTGGTGAACTTGTTATAAACACAGACAGTTTTGGGTAAAACGATTCAGGATTCAAAGAAAGAAAGTATACTTACAGACACCACCTGGAACAAAAAGGGAAAAAGAGAAAAAGTCAGTTTGAACAAACTTTCAAAGAAACTCAAAGTTTAAAGGCTACCATGAATAGTTTTCCAAAAAAAATTCCCATGTCTTGTTATCAATGTTGTTCTTGTTGTCGTTGTGTTGTTCTTGAAGGACATTCAAAGTCAATTTTCCTTTCATTGAAATTGTTGAGGCAGCCTTTTAATCAACTTCTTCAATGTAATTAAGTTCCTTCCAAGATTGTACAGCTCTACTTTGCCCACTCTGCAAGCATTTTCTCTTGAACTTCACGATGAAAACTAATTGAAGTCATTTGTATCTCCACAAATGAGGGCATCTCACACTCAAACACAAAAAGGTAAAACGTCCTACCAATATACACTCAAGAAATGCCCCCTCCTTCTCCTCCCCATATACTTACCGGGTACCCATTTACACACCATCCACCAGAGCACACACATGCTGGCGTGGTGATATACGTGCAGGAATGACACTTGGTTGTTCTTCTTGCGGAGAATAAAGAAAAACTGCAAATAAAAATAAAAAAATCCTTTCCACGATTCGGTGCGGACGAACAACGATAATAATAATAATAATAATAATAATAAGTAATAAACCAAAACAGGGGTTAGGTGGTCACGTAAAGTGGCGTCACCGTCTGAACCAATCAAATTACAAACTGAGACCAGTAACTACTCGTTATAGTATCAAGCAGTCATGAAGGGAACACCGAGGAAGACGTAGATTGAAAAAGAAATCTATATTTTGCGTCAGAACTTCGCGAATCGCTGCATGTTTTTACCGTCTCTTATGGCAACACACCTCAACTTTAGCATAATGTTGGTGAGTAGCGTTGAGTCAAACTGGTAACTTAAATAACTTGCCGTCAGGATTTTCTGTTCTCAGACCACACATATTTTGGTGATTCCACTTAATGGTGAACAAAGTTTTAAAACGCATGTGCTGAGCTACTATTTAGCCCATTAGATCTTTTGTTTTGCAACGTCCTCGTCGCCGTCTTTGTGATAGTTTGCTTAAGGTCCTTCCCTTTAGATCAATTCAAGACACAGGATCATAACTGCCCACTGCACACTTACAGTGTCAAAATACTCCACAAACTTTGACATCCAATATACGTAGCAAACTCGAGCCAGCTGGGAAGAAGAAAGAGAGAATAAAATGGTTAGAGACAAGTTCTGTCCGACTCTTCCGCTTCGTACCATTTAAATTACACGATTTTTTTCTGGGAACTCGCTATGCACGGATGAATCTTTTGCTCTTCTTCATCCTTTTAAACCTCACCATCTTCTCCCGTCCACTTAGAGGCTCGTTAAGGTGCTACCTATAATTTACCAGCACAAATTACTGCATTTGATCTTGCGTCCTGGTAACATGTTGTTCCAAACACAGTGTTCTCCCTTAATTGATGCACGACAGGTAAACGAAAATTTCAAATAGCCAAAGCAATCCTTTTACCTGTTAAATTTTCAAGAATTCTAAGCAATTTTAGATTATTAAATCACCTACCCGGTTTTGTCTTGCATCGTCACGTACGTAAGGCACAGCATCACAGAGAAGATTGAAATTGGGTATATCCATAACAGCGGCGATGAACTGCAGATTAAAACAAGCAAGAGGTGTCAGGTACAATACGTCTTTTGAGAGACACTTCCTAAAATGGTGACTTAAATCGACATAGTGTACCATACCATGAAATACACCACCTAGCAAGATCAATAACTCACTTCATACATCATCCATCCGGACAGAAGCACAAGTGCGAAGTTGTAAACTACGAGAATTTCTCGTAGTTCGTAGGCCTTCCTATTCTCCATCACTTTGGGTCCGACCTTCACGATGAACAGGTACATCGCCACTAGAGAGATGGTTGGCCAAGGTGTGGCTACAAGTGGCCATTCCTCAGTTTTTGGGTCTGAAATGAAAACCGTTGATATCAATATAGGTTAGTGGGACGATAGTGAAGTAGGAAGGTAGGTAGTGAGAAGCTGGGTGGTGCCGTTGGTAGATGGAGGGTGCAGGGAACTAAGCAGGAAGCCAAGGAGTCAATAATACTTACCACCGTTACCAATGGCCCAGTGGTAGTAATCTACAAGACGTTGAGTGGTGGTCGTCATCGTTCCTATCAGCCTTTTTTATTTACCTGTGAAGATCATGATCACAATCAAGTAACTGAATAACAAATTTGTTTGCATTATTGTCAGAAAACCGTGTAAATTGAATAGACTGATAATTCAGGGCGTGAAATTGCGCCTAATACAGGCGCCAATGCGACTAAATTTTTCACTTGGGCGACCAAATCCTGAAAGTTAGTCGCCAAATTGGCGACTACAACGTTTCATCATAACCTTACCAAGAGATATAGAGAATTTAAAAAAATTGCAAAGATAAATCCGCGGCAAACTTCCTCGTTAAGTTTGTTTCCAAAACGTAGCACATGCATCTCGATCGATAACTAGACGCCATCTTGGATTTAGATAGGCCTGAACGTTGTATATCATCCATCCTAGTGTCCACTTTGTAGCACGTTAAAGATCTTTACCCTAACTTAATTTTGGAGGGCCTATCTAGAACGCTGACAGCGTAAAGAAAGATTTTGTTTGTCTTTGAAAATGGCGACCAACTTTTTTTGAATTGGCTACCACTTTGAAGAATTTAGGAGCCAAGTGGCTATCAGAAAAAAAAGTTAATTTCACGCCCTGTGATACATTACAACAAATATAGCGCCTCGTTTCTACTCAGTTACATAAAAAGAAAACACACGCGTGCAGTGAGGAGAAAACAATTGTAACGATTGCGTGACACGAGCGCCGAAGGTGACATGAATAGTTGTCACGTAATTTTGCGATAAGCCCCAATCAACATTCAGTTAAGAAACGATTTCTTTGTACCTGGAGGAAAAACCTCGCAGTTTCTGAAGAATTCAACTTGAGGATTGCAAAAATACCCTTTAAAGTTAATTGCTTTCGTAACTTGTACGAGAGTTCGTATTCCACAAACTATTCCTTAAATATCACATTACAGCAAAATAAGTTAGGGGAAAAAGGAAATTGTGCAATATCAGAGAACGCATTCCAAGAAGGGTCCAAATTTTCAACTGCGCGTTTAGAAGCAAATATTTGGCATTTAGGTTAAGAGTAAATATGAAAGAACTATTTTAGGCAGCGGAAAATGAATTTGTTATAAAACTTATTTCCAATTAAATTATGACAAATTTAATGTCCAAACAAGTCGAGCATATATTTTTCCAAACAAAACGAATCACTTTATGATCTGCCTGTTATACATAAATCGTGGATAGATTCTTGCTAAAATTTAATCGGAGAAAATTCTGTTACTTCTGATGTTTACAGTATTTTCTTTCTCATTAAAATTTACCACACCCAAATTTTATAAGACTTTTTTAGAAACAGAAAGCGAAAGTACGGGCAATTGAAACAAAAAGAAAAAGTTGCGAGTCACACAGTCGCGACACTAAACTTGGAAAGGTAAAGTTTTTCGTAGTTACACAATTTACGCGACATTTTACAAAATCTTACCAAAACCCAATTAAAATTTCTTGCGGGATTACATGGTAAACATACATTCATGATCCACCAAAGTAACGACACTGTTTACCTTGTATCCACGCGTGAACTGAGCGCTGAAGCAAATTAAATCTTCAACAAGGCGCGGTGTTGTCGGAGAAATTTCTCCGCTTGAGCACAGCGTCTTACAATTCGGTTTCTAGTACAGTACTACTACTACTACTACTAATAAAAAAAACTAGATACCCGCTTTTCTCGCAGATAATTTGTAAGCAAACAGTACTTGTGTATTTCGCTGGTTGTCACACAGGGAGCAAAAACGCATGCCAAGCTTCAACGATTCAAACCAAGTTTGTTTACACCTATGGGCCAATAAGAGAGAAAGCTGGTGCAGGTGTTTTTGGTTTCAGTTGAATAATTTGTCGGGGCCTTATAGCAACAAACGCCGCAGCGTTGGAAACTTCAGACGCAATTAAACGCGTCCGAATTATACAGTTTAACCCTCTCTGTATTTCATCGATATCATCAAGGATCGTTTTGCAAAAGTGGTAAATGGAATAATATCAATTCTTCTACCGTCTATCCAAAGCGATTTTTTCCTCATTCAAAAAAATAATAAAATAGCGGAGAAAGTGACCTAAGAATTCAAGTTCTATCAGTGTAACGCAGCCTCTAATAAATCTCTAACTGCCGTCTGTCTGGCTTGTAAGCATGCTCTCGTGTTTCAAAAGAAAAAAAGAAACATAGGTTTCAAAATTTATATGGCGCGAATAACCCGGATTTATCAAATTAAAGAATGATTTATTGTGAAATGACCGAAGACAGGCTTGATTTAAGAACGATCAGAAATTGCAACTCAATGAAGGGTGATTGAGATTTGAACCCAACACTTCTGAAATAATGATCTTTTTTAAAAGAATGATTTCCAAAATCTGGCTGAGTAATTCTATGTCTCTTTTTAGCAAACAGGGCAAACTTACAATTACCTTGAGAAGGCAAAAAACCCTAACAACAAGCACGTCAAACGAATTAAAATGAGTAACTATTCCAGCTTCAAGCCATGCATTGTGTTTGTGTTATATCCTTAGCAAGACACTTAAGACTGTGCTCACATTACAAGGTGGGGTAACTCAATGGATTAGCAGCCAACTCAGGACAATGTTGGCCTGAAAGTGATTCCTTAGCAAGGAAAACACCCCAAGATTCACCCTGCAGGAACAGGTTACCCGAATCAATCCTCTTAGTTTCCTTCCTACCTACATGGTCATGGTGATTTCCAGTCAAAGGATCAGAATTCTGTTAACCCTTTTCCTACTTAGAGTGACTAGCATCTAATTTCTCCTTACAATATCACCCTCAAATCACTCATGAAAGTCACAATCAACAATTCAAGGGGCTCTTGATTGTTTAAACAATTCTCCTAATCAGCACCTAGATAAATGTATCGAGAACAGTATGGAGAATATGCATACTGATGTTTGGGTGTAAAGGGTTAAAAAAAGGGCTAATAAAGGGTTGCCTTCTCGAGATAGAGATTTTTCAAGCCTTTCAGATTAGGCACAAGTATTTTGTTGAAAAAGACAAAAAAAAAACAAACAAAGAAGATGAAATAAATAATAGAATCTATATAGCCTGTGATGCAGGTGTCTTATAAGGGCAAGTTTATATTTTTTAAGCTTGCACTGGGCGTGAAATTAACTTTTTTTTTCTGATAGCCACTTGGCTCCTAAATTCTTCAAAGTGGTAGCCAATTCAAAAAAAAGTTGGTCGCCATTTTCAAAGACAAACAAAATCTTTCTTTACGCTGTCAGCGTTCTAGATAGACCCTCTAAAATTAGGTTAGGGAAAAGATCTTTAACGTGCTACAAAGTGGACACTAGGATGTATGATATACAACCTTCAGGCTCATCTAAATCCAAGATGGCGTCTAGTTATCGATCGAGATGCATGTGCTACGTTTTGGAAACAAACTTAACGAGGAAGTTCGCCGCGGATTTATCTTTGCAAATTTATTTAATTCACTATATCTCTTGGTAAGGTTATGATGAAACGTTGTAGTCGCCAATTTGGCGACTAACTTTCAGGATTTGGTCGCCAAAGTGAAAAATTTAGTCGCATTGGCGCCTGTATTAGGCGCAATTTCACGCCCTGTAATGTACTCATTTATCCAGTTAACTGTGTTTCACCCTTTAACTCCCACAAGTGAGTAAAATATAACTTCTCCCTACAACATTCATATACTGTTCAGCAAACAGGTAATAAGAATACTCAAACTTGTTAGGTATAAGCTGTGAGCTTGATCTAACATTAAATTCTTGTAACTTGTTTACAAAGAAGTGTGTAGCAGCTAGGGGGGAGAAATAACAATCTAATCTTAGGAGTTAAAGGGTTAAGTTGACAGTGGAGGAAGCAGCTGGAAAAGAAAAGGAGTAATTTTGACAGTTCCCTCTCTCTCCTTTTGACCATCACTCACCCCCTTAAAACAAAGGCAGGCTAAAATTTATCAGGTGCCATTTTTTCTCTTCAAAGGGAAGACATACCATAACAGATTTTTTCTTCAGTTGTTTCATCATTATTTTAAGTCACTATCAACTGTAGAATCAAGCTGTGAATTTAAAATTGTAACATTTTGACTGCAATGCTGCTACCCTGCAGACCAACATGTTTTGGTTGTTCACACTTCAATTTCTCTTACAGCTGTCATTTATTCTCTTTCCCTATAAATACATTTTATTTTCCCAGCCATTTTCCTCAGGATGCCAATTCTTGATCCTTTAAGTCCCACTAGTGACCTAGAGAGAATTTCTCCTCACACTATCAGTACAATATATAGCAGACAAGTTATGAGAATAGAAAAAATATCAATTTGGGGATTATTGGTCGATTCAATTCCAAATTCTCCACACTAACATCACATAAATTTTATGGCAGACAGTCAGGAGAATTACTAATGAAATCTTGGGAGTGAAAGGGTTAAAGCCTCACCAGTTTCCACTAACTCATCTAGTCACACTGCCTAGCCTTTTACAAGAACAAGGCAAAAAAAAACATTTTAACCAAGAAACCTGCTAAAGTATGGTATTCAGTTGCACATGCAACAACTGGAACTCACTTCATAGTATAAAAGTCCAAATGATGTATTTTGGACCTAACTCTGAGAATATTTTGAATATTTTGCCTGACCCCTGGACTGCACCACCACACCATAATGCAGGACCCACCTACTAAGTGCTTTTCCTGTCTTAGTACCACTGCATGGTTATTTGCCAATTTCTACAACATTTGTGTACCTTGATCTGAGTGTAATTAACCTCAAAAAAAAAAAACAGCAATGCTAAGGTCCACATATTTTTAAACCTTTACAAAGTACTTTGCTTGAAATGTTTTTCGTCTCTAGTAGATTTTGGGCTTTGAGAATATCATCTCCTTAGCATATAACCTTTCTCAATAACACTTGTCACCACTTGAAAATTATAATCATGAAATCAAGGACTGGTGTTGCATTCAAGCATTTAGATATCATTATTTTTTCATAAAACCTTTAAAACAAACATCTTTCATAAATTTAAATACATGTGTATGTACACCCATGTACAGATGTTATGTTGAATAATACTTCAAAATATTCTAATCACTTGGATGTGTTGTCCATTGATCTGGTGAGTGGAAAATGAAATTGGATTTTCACATGTTTTTAATATCCACAAACACAGACAACTCTTGTGCAAACTGAGACAACTCTTGTGCAAACTGAGACAAAACGTTCTGTATGATTACATGATTAATGTAAGCAAATGAATATTACCTATGATGTGTCATACTAGTGTCATGTGTAGAGCTTCAAGACCCCCTTTACGAAATTTTTTCCAAAATTAGCTCAGTTTTTAGCATGCCGATATATGCTTTTCCTGTTTTTTAAAACCTGTTGTGACACATGAATCAAAATTACCCTTCGGTGTCCCAATAATTCTGGTGACAAATCATCGCAACATACATTTAACATTATTTAGTATCACACAGATTTGAATAATGCTACTCGTTTCAAACAGTCTTCTCTTCTCTTCTATGTTTACGATCACAGGAAATTTAAGGTGTAGACGTTAGCCTTGAGATAGACACGTGGGAACACAATCACAACCGGTACATGTGATCTGTATTTTCATCATTGGTAACATTCTAAATTTGTCTCTCTAGAAAATCCATGTTTTTGAGCGTCAACCGTTAAAAAGGCTCATGTAATACACAAATTTGTAAGGATCTGCTAGAAGAGACTGATTCTACTTAAGAATAAAGTTAGTTCTCTTCTACATGTACATCTGTTCTAACAGTCGCTCTACTGTTTACATTCAATTGAAGAGTCAAATCACTTACTTTATTACTCTCGATTGCTAGACTTCCAGTCAAATTTTGTAAAACAGTGACCACAGAAATGCGAAATTGAACCGGCTAAGGAGATCGCATTCAAGTGATTTTACATAACGAAATCACAAGGCCGGGACACAAAAGCGATGAACAGAAGTGTAACCTTGAATGACCTTAATTATAGTTGCGTAACACCATTCCATGCGTGCTCCTCATGGATGGAAATTCGTTAAAGGAAATTTTCAACCGAACGCGGCGCGCTTAATACTTTGAACAGAAAGTTAGCTCCGTTTACTGTGCATGATGCCTAGTTCTCTACAGCCATGTAAACGGAAATCAGGCGAGACGATAAGTATGAAATTACACGAAAGGGTACCAAGTTAATAGGAACGTCTATCCAATTCCAGAAGCCTCTAAACACTTTTTCAGCCCCTATTTCTACTAATGAAACCTCGGCTTACCTCTATGCAGCTTCGGGTTGAAAATATATTCTGGTGGCTACCTCTCCACCACCTCTCGGAAAATTATGTGAGTGATAGGCAAGAGAGAGCAGGTTTTCTTATAATAACAAATGGCTGGTAGAGCTCGGCTTAATAGGCATAATCGCCTCACTCTGATTGGTTAATGTACAGTGGCGCGACAGATTCACGAGAAGCCCTCCAGGCCTGCTTGATCGAATGGACTGGCTTCCAATGTCTCCCCGGAAATTCGAATTCCTGCCGAGATTTTGCACCAAATTTGGCTGCAAGCAGTCGTGACTCTGGGATTTCACAACGCATAACACCTTGGAATTTGTAGCTGGTGGGCTCTTGTTTGCATTCTTTTAGATTCTAGTTCACATCAGAGTTAACGAAGTTGAACGGTCCTATTTTTTACTTGCTTGAATGAACTTTGGATGCCCTCGAGCGGCACGTGTATGACAACTTACATATCATGAAATCATTTCTAGCGGGGCAATTTTTTTTTTTTTGTTTTTCGGTGCGTACTTTATTCCAGTTTAACCAACGCGATTTCATTTTGCATTTATGTCGCTGCTTTCAGACTCTGTCCCCGAACGGAAAAAAAAGAAAACCAAATTCATCTTGCTCGGATTTGATCTCTTTCAGCCATAATGAATTCCATCTACAGGTCAGTAATAATTAGAGTTTGTTTTGGGCTTAGTGTTGAGACAAAAAAGGGCTGCATTTGTTTGTTTAAACAGTCCGCGTGTAAATAAAGAGTGCGATGTTACATCTAGTAATTAACAAACCAAACCTTTGACTTTTTTTTCTTTTTTTTTTTTTTTTCTTTTCACCCACTGCATTCTCTACCCAGTTGTTTCATTCATGAGACCGCTTTTTTTCAAGAACTGATTTTACTGCCGATCCTAGGCTTGCAAACACGCTCTCTCACTTGGTCACGGAGCTGCAAGAATTTTATGCAAGGGTCGATGCTATTAGCGGTAAGTTAAGTTATAGAGTTACAGTAATTCTTCAAGTGCCTAATGTTATTTTTGAAATGATTCTTGCAGATTTTCTGCTGAAGCTAGTTCATATTTATTTAATTTTTTTTGGCTTGATTATAAACAAATAACCCTCAGGTATACACTACCCAAGAGCGTATAGAAGAGATTAAAAATTCCCCTCAGGTATACACTACCCAAGAGGGTTAAAGTGATTAAAAATAACCCTCAGGTATACACTACCCAAGAGGGTATAGAAGAGATTAAAAATTACCCTCAGGTATACACTATCCAAGAGGGTATAAAAGCAATTAAAAATAACCCTCAGGTATACACTTTCAAGAGGGTATGGAGGAGATTAAAAATAACCCTCAGGTATACACTACCCAAGAGGGTATAGAAGAGATTAAAAATAACCCTCAGGTATACACTACTCAAGAGGGTATAGAAGAGATTAAAAATAACCCTCAGGTATACACTACCCAAGAGGGTTTAGAAGAGATTGAAAATAACCCTCGGGTATACACTACCCAAGAGGGTATAGAAGAGATTAAAAATAACCCTCAGGTATACACTACCCAAGAGGGTATAAAAGCGATTAAAAATAACCCTCAGGTATACACTACCCAAGAGGGTCTAGAAGAGATTGAAAATAACCCTCAGGTATACACTACCCAAGAGGGTATAAAAGCGATTAAAAATAACCCTCAGGTATACACTACCCAAGAGGGTAAAGAAGGGATTAAAAATAACCCTCAGGTATACACTACCCAAGAGGGTATAAAAGCGATTAAAAATAACCCTCAGGTATACACTACCCAAGAGGGTAAAGAAGCGATAAAAAATAACCCTCAGGTATACACTACCCAAGAGGGTATAAAAGCGATTAAAAATAACCTTCAGGTATACACTACCCAAGAGGGTATAAAAGCGATTAAAAATAACCTTCAGGTATACTCTACCCAAGAGGGTATAAAAGCGATAAAAAATAACCCTCAGGTATACACTACCCAAGAGGGTAAAGAAGGGATTAAAATTAACCCTCAGGTATACAATACCTAAGAGCATATGGAGGAGATTAAAAAAAACCCTCAGATATACACTACCCAAGAGGGTATAGAAGAGATTAAAAATAACCCCCAGGTATACAATACCCAAGAGGGTATGGAGGAGATTAAAAATAACCCTCAGGTATACACTACCCAAGAGGGTATAGAAGAGATTAAAAGTAACCTTAAAGTATACGCTACCCAAGAAGGTATGGCAGAGATTAAAAATTTCCCTCAGGTATACTCTACCACATTTGGACTGATTCCACATTAACTTTTCTTCAGCACATACCAGTGCATTTTGGAGTCTAGATTGGATCCCATAAATTTAGAAAGGTCAGCCAATCAATCAAAGACTCAGGCCTACATAATGAGATTGCACCAAGGGATTCCAATCCAATATTTATTGTACTTCTTTATTGTAATTTGCACCAAGGTGAAGTATTAATTGTTAAGTGAACCTCTAACTTATAATCAACAGGTTTAAGTAACCATGTAGACACCTACCGACTGCAAGTGTTAATGCAATTCTCAACATCATAGAATGCATGCTGCAAATCTTTTCAGGGCCAAAGCTCCTTATGATCACTTGCAAGGTTATCAAAGTAACCAGATGACTCCCAAAGCAAACTCTGTCATCTTATTTCAGGTTTTCATCCTATTTTTTCAGATCCAAGAACTAAGAAATGGCTCTTTGTACCATCCATATGGTCACCCATTATAGCAGTTTTAGTTTACTGGCTTCTTGTTTGGCTGCTCCCAAAGATTATGAGGTCCAGAGAGGCTTTTCAACTCACAAGCTGCTTAGTAATATACAATGCTGCTTTAACACTTCTGAATTTATACATCTTTGTTGAGGTAACAGGGCAAATTAAATCTTAGTTGCACCATACTTTAATGTCCCAGAAATCATATAATTTTATCTTGAATATATTCCTACTTGCAGTAATGTTGTTACAGAAAAAAAGGAAAAAGGAAAAAGACAAATTCAATGTGATAGCATTGTAGGGTATAGAACAAGTATACAAAATTAGTATATAATTCTCATTTTGAAATTTTGGAATTTTTTTAATTAAAAGTAACAATATTGAATTCATACAATTCGTTTTTCTGCAGGTCTTGGTTGCAACTACAGATGCTGGTTACAGTTATTCCTGTCAAGAGCTCTCAATGACTTATAAGCCAAAGGAGATGAGGGTATGTTATTCCAGATTCTTTTTGGAAACAAACAATTGATCACCTCTACCAATTTTTGCATAAAATGTGATGATTTAAAGCAGACTCCACCCTAGATTGAAAAGACTAACCAAAGGAGAGAGGAGGAGAAAAAAAATCAAACTCCACTTAGAAGCAACTTTACATTTTAATTAACTTTTGCCAGAAAAATTATGGCTTAATGGTTAATGAGCTGGACTCCAGGGAGACGTAGCTGGCTCCTCTCTCCACCTTGTAAATTGGTACAGGTTAACCCCTAAGCTCCCAGAAGTGATAAACAAGTAACTTCTCCCTACAATATTCATCCACTATCTAGCAAACAGGTAATGAGAATACTCAAACTTATCAGATAGATCTTGATCTAACATAAAATCCTCATAACTAACTTTTAGTTACAAGGAAATGTATAGCAGCTAGAGTGGGGAATTGATAATCAGATCTTGGCAGTTAAAAGGTTAATTGTCAGGGAAAGCTGACAAAATGCTTTTGGTAGACAAACATTCCATCCCAAGAGGGGAGTGGTAATACTCTTAGTTGCTTCATGCTAAAGAAACCGGGATAAACTCTGGCTGGATGGGCCACTTGGCAGAAGTGAAGACTTTCGAGACAAACTGTGTTGAAATTAAGAGATCCTCACAGCTAAGAACACTACTGAAACGAGTAGTTGTAAATAGGACCTGAAAAAAATTCAGGCCCGTACGGGATTTGAACCCATGACCTCTGCGATACCGGTGCAGCGCTCTACCAATTGAGCTAACAAGCCAACTGGGAGCTGGTCAATGAATTGGGTACAAATAAACATCCAAGTGAATGAAGATTTTAGATATATGAATTTATATATGAATATATGAATTTCATATATCTAAAATCTTCAAACTGTGTTATTTCTTGTCTCTGAAGAAACTGTGGTGCTGTGTCAATGGGAGAGTATTACAAGGGAATTTGGTATTATCACATAAATTGATAGCATAGATTAGTCACTGTTAACCCTTCAACTCCCAAGATCTGATTGTTAATTCTCCCCTCTAGCTGCTACACATTTCCTTGTAAATTAGTTATGAGAACTTGCTGCTAGATCAAGATAGCAGCTTCTACCTGATAAGTTTGAATGTTCTCATTACCTGTTTGCTGATTTATATATGGATATTATAGGGAGAAGTTTCATGTTAATCACTTCTGAGAGTTGAAGGGTTAAGAGTTTCAAAGCTGATATTTTGAGTGCTAGCACTTGGTCAGCACTTTAGCACTTTGCTCTGATGAAGAGCTAACACTTGAAATATCAGCTTTGAAGCTCTTAATAGTGGCCAATTTATGTTATCAACTCAGTTAATGATACTAAATTCCCCTCTGTTAATTCTTATGGGTTAATACTTACTTGTTCATTTTTCTTTGAAGATTGCCTCAGTTCTTTGGTGGTTCTATTTCTCCAAAATTGTGGAGCTTTTTGACACAGTAAGTTGATGCTCTTTAACCTTTTAAACCCTAAAATCAATATGCACCTTCCCCATACTGTTCTCTACATTTCCTAATGTGCTGGCAAGGAGAATTTGTTTAACAATCAAGAGGTTCTTCTGTTGATTATCATTTCCTATATTCTCATGACCTTAATGTTTGATTCAGGGGTGATATTGAAAGGAGAAATTAGATTCTAGTCACTTTCAGGTATTAAAGGGTTAAGGGCTCTTTGTAGGATTGTGCATGACAAATAATTTACCATTCTTAAGAAATGTTGTGGGAAATTTGAATGCTCAATTTATTATATGCTCTTCATTCAAGAAAAGAAACCCCAACAGAACACTTTGACTCAAAACTATGGAGTACTTCATTAACACTCTTTACATTTCACATTGTAGAGTTTTTAATCACATGCAACAAGACTTTCACATGCATTCTCAGTTCATGTATGTAAAGAACTTGCAGTGATCTGCCTTTTAGAATTTGAAAATAATGAACATATCATCAAAATGTCATTCTAAATTATTATGGCTGATTTTTATTCATAATTGTTTGCCTAAAGCCTATGCTACTAGAGTTTAAACTTGTTTTGAGTTTTAGAGGCCATGTTATATTACATCACCAGTGCTAGAGATTTGACTGTAACTCTCTAACTTTGGACATAATGAGTATTTCATGTAGGCACACAGTATAAAAACTGCATGATAATGCAGGCTGTGAAGGGGTCAATATTTCCTAGAATTTTGTTCTTTTATGTCAATATTTTTTGCTTCAATTTTAAGTTTTTTTCTGGAAAGTGACATTCTGTAAAGACTCAAAATGACAGTTTTCACTGATTTTAAAAGACAGAAAATAGATGTTGTTATTAAGTCTATTTGGAAAATTTGTTACTGTTCAAACAAATATTGTGTCTTTGCATCAAAACTCATCAGATCAGGACTAATTGTGGTTTATTTTTTTGGTAGATGTTTTTCCTCCTTCGTAAGAAGAACAACCAAGTATCTTTTCTTCATGTGTACCACCACACAACAATGGTTTGTCTATGGTGGATTGGAATCAAATGGGTTGCTGGTGGGCAGTGTAAGTTGCATCTCATTGTGTTGGTAAGAATGGGAGGGGAATATGAATGGAATTCATCAGTGGACATTCCACGAGGTGGCTCTTCTTGTCCACTGTTTCCAGGTTGAATTAGAATTTGAAATGTTGGTTCTTTAGAGAGAGGAAAACTGGAGGAACCAGAGAAAAACCTTCTGAGCAAGGATGAGAACAAATGACAAACTCAACCCACATGTGGCACCAGAGGCCTGTTTCTCAAACATACTGGTAACTTAATAGGCCAGTAAAGCTGCTCTGTTTTCATTCAAGGTGGCAATTTCAAAAATTTTGAAAATTATACAAGAAAAAATATAAGCTAAAGAAACAAAATGAACAGGCTAGGGTGCCAGAACCAGCTTCTCCATCCTTTAAATTTTGATTTTAAAGTGTGGCTTTGAGCTTGTTAAGTTAGGGGTACTTTTGAGAAAAGGACCTTTGGTCAAGGGAAATCAAAACTGGGACACAGTGGTGAGAGGTGAGTGCTCTCACCATTATGCCATGCCAGTTCTGTTGATTTGGTACACAATATTACAATATTTTTGGGAAAAGTTCAATAAGAATAGCTGCCATTTGGCATCATTGATGATATGCTGGGTTATTTCCTAGCAGACATCATCTGTTCCGAAGAGAAAATAGTTTTTGTCCCAGCTAGACAAATATCATATGAATTGTCCATTAATAAAAGCTGTTGTGTTTATTGTCCTTCAAATAGTTTATACAGCACATGTTACAAAATGTTTACTAATAGCATACTGCAGGAGACTTCTAAATTCAGGAGTATGGTTACTTTTTAAAGTGACTAAATGAACAAACAAGTTTTCTCTAGTTTTATAGTAAAAGAAAATTGTTTTCCATCTTGAATCAACTTTCGAATGAAAGGTTTGACCATTTGGGAATATCATCAGGAAATAACACTGGATATCCCCCTTTTTAGCATCAGACACAAGCCAAAATATGAGATGGGTTATTCTTGTCAAGTTTCATCCCTGAATCAAACATTAAGGTCATGAGAATAAAGGAAATGATAATCAACTGAAGAACCTCTTGATTGTTAAACAAATTCTCCTTGCCAGCACATTAGGAAATGTATAGAGAACAGTATGGTGAAGATGCATACTGATTTTAGGGTTTAAAAAAGATAAGACAAGGCAGCTTTATATTCCCAATGGTTTAACAAAATATTGCATCATTTTTTATAAAAATAAAGAGGGATTACACAGTTGCCCTTAAAAAAACAGTAATTATTCTGGTTTTTTCCCCAATATGCAGCCTTTCTTAGTGCAATGATTAATTCCCTGGTGCATGTATTCATGTACACATACTATGGGATGTCAGCCATTCCAAGTCTGCGGAAATACCTTTGGTGGAAAAAGCATTTGACACAGTTTCAATTGGTGAGTCTTTTTTCCACCATTCTTATAACTAACCATGATGTTGTTGTAACCCCCATGAGTGACCACGATAGAATTTCTCCTCACGATTTATCATTACAATATCAAGCAGATAACTGAGAACAAAGAAAAGTATCCATAAGGGGATCACTAATTGATCCAATACCCAATTCTCCAAACTAACAGAATAAGTCATGGCATGTAGGAGTGAAAGGTTTAAGGGGTTGCTGGTCTAAAAGCCAACTGTGCATCAAGGGAAAAACCCAAATGCTTGCTCGCTTGCTGAGGAATAGGTCATTACTTATGTAGAGGGAAGGAGGGTAAAATTTGTTGGAAAGATCAAAATTTCTATAATTCTCCCCCCTCCTTCCAGGCCATGCAAATAGCAAGTGACCCCTCCCTCTTTATTCAATATTTATGATGACCCTCTCATCTCCTTCAGTATCTCCCCTTATATGCCTAGTAATTATTAAACTTCATGTCACATACAACCATAAGATGCTTACTTTGCGTAACACCCAACTTGGATAATGGACCACCCTTAAATATACTTCAAACTAATGACCCCCAGAATTTCTAAACAAATTTAGCCACCCCCCTTTTGCCAATCTGTCAATCAATCCCCCCCCCTTATTTTTATCTCCTTTTCCCTATACATGAATAATGACCAGTTCCAAAACAGATGGTAATGAGAGGTACATCTTACAGGTGTTGGTAAACTGTCAGTATTAAGCTTTTATCGAAAGCCCTGACTATAATTTATTAATTAAATTTTGATATTTTCACTGATTTTCAGTTCTTGTTTTCTGGTGTTTAGATCCAGTTCTGTATTCTTCTGTGTCATGGTGTTGTGTCACTTCGCGCCAAGTGTGACTACCCCCTGTGGATGCAGTATGCCTTGATTGGTTACATGATCTCTTTCCTTATCCTCTTTTCAAATTTCTATGTTCAGTCTTATTTTGCTAAGAAGTTTAAGAAGCAAAAACCAATTGAAGCAAATGGAGAAATTGTAACAAATGGCTCAGCTAACTCTCTTGAAGAAAAGAAGAAACACGTCTAGTCTGGGATATTTGCTAGGTCTGGTACTGTAGGCAGGGCTCTCAAGTGTCATGCAATGGGTGAGACTTACTCAAACTAATCCAGAACTATTAGTTCTCAGGCAATTAAGGTTTCTGATTTTAATTGTTGATTTTTGAACAGCAAACTGCTGCCTTAGTTAAGTAGTTATAAAATTAATGATCCCTTTGTATTTGCTTCGAACACAGTGGAAATCTTGCTCTAAATAAAGGAATGCAAATCTTGGTTGCTTCCTTTTTTCAGAGTATGCCCCCTTAACTCCTAAGGTAGGTGCTGCCTGTGGTGTTTCACTCTACCAGCAAATTAACTTGAGAGCTCTGTTTGTAATATAAAAAAAAACAATAATAAAATAAAAACAAATCAACAAAGAGAGAAAGAAGAAAACATTTTAATATATTAAATAAATAGAAGGCACTTTAGGTACAGCCTTATTGACTAGAAATTATTTGAGGCATGTACATGTTGTGTATTATTTTAACTTGCTTGGCAAGTGCTGCAGATTATTTTTGATCTCATTCATTCTAAAATATACACAAGGAATTTAGAAATCACCTTTAAACAGAATGCAATTCCTTTGCTTAGCTATGATCAAAGCTTTCTGTTTGAATCTTTTTGAAAATGGTGATGTTGTGGGCAGTTCCTATGTGAAGTTATTCTTCTGTAAAAAATTATTGGATAGAGGACTGGGAGTAACAGCTAATTTCTCCTTACATTGTTTGTATATTACCCAGAAGAGGTTTAACCCTTTAGCTCCCAGCTCAAATTTGTAATTCTCCTTAACATCAACCATACAATTCTTATGATGTTAGTTCAGAGAATTTAACATTGAATCAACTGATTATCCCCAAATTGATATTTTCTCTATTCTCATCACTTATCTGATTGATATTGTATTGATATTGTAAGGAGAAGTTCTGTCTCGGTCACTCATGGGAGTTAAATGGTTAAGGAATTAGCAGAAAATAAGCCAAGAGTTATTCTAATAGGGCATTGACACAAGATAATCTCAACTGTTCTACATGGGAATGAAATGGAAGGAGCATTTAAAAGTGAAGACGAGTGAAGGGTTTGGTGAAGGTGTAATGAAAGAGGCTGAGCAAGGTTTTTCAGGATATGTCTGCAGGCCAGACTGTCAGTTTCCAGTGCTGCCTCACTGCAGCTATGAAAGTTAGGAAATAGATCCCTTTTTACCTACCCCACCTGATCTTTTAATCGTGATATTTTTTATGCAGTCAAAACAGTTGTTATTTTGGTGCAATGCACTATAGTAATGATGTGAAAGCAAAGATAAACATTTTTAGAATTATTGCAACTATCAAGAGTTTACAGGAAAGGAATGGTGGAAATAGAATTATTTCCTCTTTAAGGCAGGTGTTTATATAAATTTATTCTTAATATTGATAAATCAAAGAAATTTTATTCCACTTTTTTTTTAAAATAAATTTAGTATCTAAAAAAATATATATATGCAAATTGGGTAACACTAGAGACCAAGGTTTAAGAATGAGGACAACAGAACATTTTGATAATGTAATGTTTATTACAAACAGTTTTTTCTTTCTTTTTCATACAAAAAATATCTAATCAAGCTAAATTGTTATTTATCGTGAAAACTAATTGTCCATCACTCACAAGAAACAGTGGTAACTGTACAGTGATTTAAGCTACAGTGTTCTTAACTCATGCATGAAGCTTATCTACTTGTATCAAACTAAAATATTGCGATTATTAAATGGTCATTTTATACACACGAAACCATTCGAATCTCCTCCATTTTCTACCTGACACTTCTGACACATCAATCCATCACGGCCTGTTTCGAAGAGTCTGTCACAACACTATACTTTACGTCGCGCAACAACTCGAATAACGGTTATTGGGAGAGATTACTCGAAGATGTCAGCTTTCATTTACCGTCTTCAAACGAGCCACATTACGGTATTGCCTAAAATTCAATTCGGTTTCCCTAGTGATGCAGTCGAAGACAACACAGAAATTTTTTCAAAGATTCAAAATACGAAGAGAAAATGGTTTTTAAACGTGAATGAAAATAGTAAATTATATCTTAGTTTATTTGTCCTTTTAATGAATGGTGACCATGAATGACCCATCTGTAATGAAGCTCGTCTAAAGTACTCAAACCAATCGTAAATGGATCGTGTTCCTTTTTGAACTCAATCTATTATCGTTTTGCCAAAACGATGAAAGCTGCTAGCACACTGACATTAGCAAACGAGTCAACTAACTATATAACAAACTTTCTCTCGCTATAATTCACTAATAAATGTGAAAAACCTGGAAAAATTGCCACAAAAAATGAAAGGAAACCAAATCTTTACCCTTCGAAATCCACCGCCTCCGGGACAGTTTTGTACTTTGTTCCAAAATGCTGAATTCGAATGTAGTACCGAGTGAAATGCAAATACGTAGTAAGTTATTGTAATAGTTCTATTTACACGAAGGTTTGCAACAAAAGCACAACTTTTACAAACACAACGAGACAAAAAATAGTCGATTCTCCAGTCCTGGTGGACTTTTAAGTGTTTAAATTTTAGACAACGCATCAGAGGTGCGCTGTATTTTGCCCTTTAACACGAAAATGTCCGCTAACCTTCACCTATCAGTTTGTTTTCTTTATAAAAGGTTCCTAGTTTGATTCTTTAAATTGGAGAGGAAAATGAACTCTCAGTCGCTAAGATCCTCTGGTGCAAGCCGACAAAGCGACTGAATTTCACTTCATAATTAATTTTTTGGGAAGTTATACGCGTTTCTGTAACATCCCCTCCAACAGATTGGATCTTCCCCCTAAAAGACGATAGTGCCTCGACATGACGCTACAAATTGAAACAAGACTAAAATACGGTTGTACCGTGTTTGTGTATTTTTGTACAGGTTGTGTTTGAAATTGAAAAATTGAGGAATTTTTAAGTTAAACTTTGAGGAAAGTGATAGGATTCACCAACATCATTCATTGACGAGATTTCTGTACATTCAACGCTTTCTCTCAAATATTTTTCCGGGGGTCTGATGGGATGTCACAGATTCGCAAACAAATAAACAAGTTTGAGAAATCACAAATTCATATTGATAAAGCTACACTACTTGTACAAAAACGTTTCAAACTTTTTTTTTTAACCGTCCTTCTTCATAAAGCTGAAGTTACATTCTTTCATCGTATCCGGAGCGAATTTGTAGATCAAACGCTGTCCAGGGACACGTTCTAGAATCTTCCTCTCGTAATAATATCGCAAAGCACGGCTCATCTTTTCATAATTCATGTTCCTGCGGTTCTTCCGTTGACCCCACAGCTTAGCAACGGCTCCTGAGTTGACAAGCCTGAAAATGCCCTCCTCGCGCTCGATCCATGTAATGTAGCGAGGACATGTATCCTTGTTTTCCAGTAACTCTTTAAGAAATTCCCACAGGTGCAGAGATCTTGTCTCTGAAATAAAAATACAATTTTATTGAAATGACGCACATTAACACTACCTTTGCCAAATTTTGAGAGAACCTGCAAGTTTACTTAACGTTAATTTGCTACTCTCCTATGTAAACAAGCCTACATTTCTTGTTGGTTTAATGAAATTGAGCCAACAAAATACAGTTTGACGTCAGAGGAGTGTTTGAACAGGCACGAACAAAACATTTTTTCAGCCAATCAAAAGGATCGCCTCTGCTATATTCGAAATTTTATAAACAGATGTTACAAAGTGTCAACAGTGGTAAATTACTAAATTTGTTGTTTTTAACTTTTTTTTACCCTTAAAAAAAATATATAATGAAAAAAAAAGAGAAAATTTTGAATAACTTACGTTTTCTTCGGCCAACACGGGGTTTTGCACCTGGCGAACCTGAGGTAGAACTTTTTGTGGAAGAGTCACTTCGGCTGTGGTTTCCTTTTATGGAGAGAGAACAAAAATAGCGGTGAGTAAAGAAGAACATTCAACACAGTCACATAGAAACCTCTGTGATAAATCAACTCACCATCTTTGGCGTCCTCAGTGCCAGAATCTGTTGAACTGGAGCTGTTCCTTCTTCGTGCTACAGGAGAGTCGCATCCTCTCTGCGACGGGGACCCCCTGGGGTATGGGGACGTTGGGGGTGATGGAGATACCCGTTCTTCTCCATAATCACTATCCCCGCACGATTTTGGGGAAAGGTTTGCCGGAAAAGGCACTTGAGACTCAGCTGGTGTCGGCTTCATGGGGGGTTGGACCCCGTTTGATGGTGGCTTCTTTTGACTGACAAACGAAGTATCTAATCTAGGTTTCTTTACGTCAGGAGGTAAGGGTCCGTTCTCGCCGTGGCTGCCAGCGGAGAAGGGCTCTTCATAACGCGCACCTCGGCTGGTGCGTTCCTCAGAAGATGCTTTCTTTGTTTGCGATGCCTGATCAAACAGAGGGTTGCTTTTCTCTAAGAAACTGGCCGCCAAAGAAAGTGTCTGCAGTGAAGACCTAGGGAAGTTGTCCGGGGGGCTGCTGGGGGAGGGAAGATCAGGAGATTTGATCAGAGGGGGCACCGGAGGGAGGTCTTTGTTCCTGGTAAGTTCTGGCAAGGAGCGAGGGGGTTGACGCGGTGGAGGAAATCCATTAAGGGATGGAACACATGGCGGGTAACATCCATTTGGAGGCCACAGGCGAGAGGCACAGAAGCCGTTGGCACCAGAGTTGTGTTGTGCTGCATAACTGCCAACAGAGTAGCCACGAGTGTGGGCTGAAATGAGAAATTTATCAAACTTAGACCACGTGTGGCGTGATTACTCTAGTGGTGTCTTCCTGTCCAAAAGGACTAGTGTCAGCGGAAGTCTTCAATTGTTACTGACTTTATCAAAACAAATTCACTCGAAGTTCACTATGATCAAAGGCCACGGCATGTTTCGTGCTTTGTTTGTTTTTATCACACTGTGAGATGTTCCTTATCACGGGATAACGTAAACATGCGACTTTCATGAGCTCGTGGACTTCAACTCATGTCAAATTTTCGTGAGCTTGTTCGTACATTTTGATGCAGGACTTGAGATCTCTCCGTTTACCCAAAAGCTTAAACCTGAAATCATTTGTGGTAAATTAAGGTGAAGGTTTTTTTATCTTTGCCGGTTGGAAGCTTGCCCATTGTTTTTGTTCCGGTCTAACCTTGGACTTAGATAAACAGTCGCATGATTTAACCGCAGTTAGTCATATGTGTTCGATGTGACTCGTGAAGATTCATGTAATTTTGTGGCTAAGTTCCCGATTGCCATGTAGCGTGTGTGTTGTATTTGTCAACGACAAAATTAACAAGGATCAATGCGTATCCAATTTGTGATGTCACGCAACGCACAGAGAAGCTACAAGCTACAAAGCAGACGCGTGGGTGGGGGGGGGGGAGGGGGGTAGAGTGAGGTCAGGATAAGAATTAAACATTAAAAACAAGATAATACTTACTCGATTGTGGCTTGGATAATGAGCCGGCAACCTCTGTAACAGAGTTGTTCTGAGCTACTGAAAGAAAGAAGACATGATTATTTCACCATAAACAATAATGAGCTTTTCCGCGCGCGATTTCTCGCTCGCACGTGTACACTTTCTTCATGTTATATCCAGCGATATAGCGTTCTTCAAATAAGAAGTCGACTGCTTGGTGCAAACACTGCTATTCGTGGAATGCAGAGTGAATTTTCGATCAACTTTTTGGCACCACAAACTTGAAACTTGTGGGCCATGTTTGTAAGCGTGTGACTGTTTTTTAACGTGGAGGACAAACTTACCGAAAGAATGGCTTGCAGAGCTTGTCACGTGGCCTGCGACTTCTTGAGAGTTGCTGTCAAAATCTAAAATAAACAAGAATCCACAGGTTCATTTATTAACCTTTATACTGACGGAATTGTGAGCTCAAATCTATAAGGGTAGTTGGAAGAATAGGCGATAGTTTGAGGAGTCGGAACCCCTTCAAGAAAAAATTTTAAGACTTTTGTGACTGGAAAGTAAGGAAATTCGAGATTCGTCGAATGTAACGCCCTCCAATTGCATTTTTCGAAACTGCAATGTCAATGATTGTAAACTTTGCATTGGTTGCTACCACAACAAAGCGTTTTTTTGTCGTTCTAGATTTATCTTAAAAACAAGAGGCTATAATTAACACTGCCACGCTTCTAACATAAAATAGAGTTTCGTTCATTGAAGTGGAACAAAACAAACGCTGACACAAGTCACAGGTGGGTTGAGAGAAAAATTTATTTAGGTATTTCCGCACCGACAGATTTGTGAGGAAAAGAATCTTTTAAAAATTAACATTTCAAAGGATGACACAGAAAATCGAGAGAGGTTCTGAAAGTTGCCTAAGAAAAGTCGTTTCAAAAAGCGTTTTATTGAAGAATGGAGATTTCAATGCATACAATTAAAAGGATGGAACCACAACACATCGAGTAACCTGAGGCAAATTCTATTCAAGAAAAGTCTTTGAAAAAACCGCTTCTCAAACCATAGAAATTGTTCCCAGTTATTGTAACAGAGGATTCTAATTAAAATTATTTCTATATGTTATTTGCATTTCCTCAAGGAAATAAAAATATGGAACACAATCTATAGGTACAGATGAAACAAATTTGGGTCAGTCGATTTAAAACAATCTTGCGTGTGTAATAAACGTTGCTCTGACATAAACATAGTAACCAGGGTTTCCTTTTAAATCTTTATTATAAAATAACACAAACATAAAGATAATTTCCTGAATTAAGAAGAGAACGAGAAATTACTTATGGGATTTTCAAACCAAATTTAAAAGGTCACATGAATGTATGTATAGGTTTGCCTATACACTTTTTTAAAAGATATTGCTTGTCTGTCCAAATAATTTGGGGTATCTTCGTTGAACGGGTGGTTTATTGACTGAACACAACAAGTCATCTCAAAATGGTACATGACATTAGTAACGCCAAGCTTTCATTGATAAGCAGATGGTACTTAGAACCAGCTGTCACTAAGCTGATGAAACAAGCTAAAATCTTTGCCAAACTGTATGGCTTACTGTACATGTGCACTGATGCCAATTCAAGATCTCACATGCAGTTCACTGTGGTGTGTTTGTATTGACACTGTTTTGGCGAATATATTGTTATGATTAAAGTACTGGCCAAACTGATAACTCATCCAGAGTACTTTCAGTCTTAATCATAAGACCTAGCAATCAATTTCTGATATCTGACACCGTTGAATTTGGAAGATTCTTCAGGTCACAAAGAAAGAAAGAAATGAATGAATGTACAGATGAAAACCTGGAAAACTTATCACAATATTATTATTGTTACACAAATTTTTCACATAAAATGCAACTGTATGCTCCCAAAGTTGTTCAAAACACTCTCTTCACACTCCAAATAACACCACAGTCCAAATGGACAAAAGATGTTCTTTGTGATGCAAAATTGAATATGTATAGTCCTAACGGTTTCAAATATCATGTTTTGCTCTTTTTCGACCCTACATTGTCACAAGGAAATGACAATATTGGATCCAGACAAAGGTTACTTCCTTGCAACCTTAGATGAAGCCACAGTCAGCCTGCGAGAGAAATATCTTGGAAGGACGCCACATACAAGTGAAAAGCAATTCACCACCGATGGTGCAATGTTTGTATCGGAGACGTGGAAATATTAGCAACACTACAGTAGCTTGAAAGCTAAACAATTAAGTTAAAAACCTGCTTGGACTTCCAAGCGAAAAGCCCTTAATTAATTGCTTTGTAAAGATCTTTAAGCCTGCGACACCGCACTTTCAAGCTGAAAAGAAGCTTTAATATTTCATCAGCTTAAATTGTCTTTTCTGCTGAACCCTGAATATTCAAGTTGCAACAAATTTTAATATATGTGCATTGTGTAGTTATGCAATATCGCATTTTCTAACGTTCCTCGCCAGAACGAAGCGAATCGCGTCCAAAACAAAATGTCTGTAGTATTAAAGAGTACAAAGGAATGTAAAAAGAGCCATTTTCATCACGTTAGTAACAGCTTAGCCCACACGAGGAAGTGGTGAATGTTTATGCATCGCGAAGAGAGCTATCTGATTGCTTAGCCTATAGTATTACTGCGACCCGACTTTTGGCTCGCCTGTAACTAGTTGACAAACAACACCATCCATAACATCAAGATTACTGAATCAATTCGAAATATCTTCGGCCAAAAGCTACAAAAACTACAACAGAACTGCTTGAAATCGCTGATAATTTAAGACATTGCGAAATTTATGCAAATAGAAGTCATGTAGTCTCTATGAGTTCTTATCTCTTGAAGAATCTCCTTCGAAATTTTCGAAGAGTTAGCACTGATAACCGAAGGAAAAACTTATAATGTACACAAAATAGAAACACACAAAAGAATCTTCGTTTCTTTAGAGGTGACGAAGGATGTGAATCAAGAAAGAGAGACATATAGCGAAAATTGTTGACAATCCCAAGCACAAATATAAATTATTACGTCCACCCAGCCAAGTACAGCATTGTGGTTTTTTAACACAAAGAAATTACAAAATACCCTCGGCGAAAACAAGCAAAGTCAGTTAACTAAGGTCATTTAACCATAATGAGGAGGTATAACTCTTAAGCAAACAAAGAGCGGTCGACACTGTTCCCGGAAGAAACTTCGAGAGAACTGTTTTTGCTCCCGGAAATATTCAACCCAATGCGACCCGCTACGTGACAAAATAATTTTTCTTCCAAAAGCCAACTCACCGCCATCTATGTTTCCAATCACAGCATGACTATCATCCATATCGTTGGTTTCATCTGAAAGAAAGAAACGTTCGTCAGAACATACGAAAGATGGCTTGGACAAAGCTATATTTTCCTAATAATTGTGCGTGCTAGCTCATTTCAATGCCAACTGGATGGAAACCATAGCTCCCCGCAACGCGGAAAAGCATTCAGAATTAAAACCCAGTTCTTCGCGTTGTGAGAAAAAAGTCGCTAAAATTGATCGCAATTTAGAAAACTTCGACATTTTAACAGCTTTAAACGCTTACATATGCACAGCAACCACGCGCAATCGTTGGGTACAAGTTAAAAAAAACGCTTCGAGACTGATCTCAAGGTATGATGCGAAGCAAACGATGAGCGGCAAGAGATACGCATGAAGATGGTCCCTCGCTCAGTAGTCCAGTTTGCCGCTAGACTTTCATCCTTTAAGATTATTAGCCCTTGAGAAACAATGAGACCTTCTGTACCATTCAACAATGTGAAAGGTTTCACAAAATATGCTAAAAATAGCGATAGACAACGCTTCGCCTTTCCTTCTCCTTCGTGGATATGGCGCGTACCAGCGCGGAAACGAACAAGCTTGTTGGTTTCACTCGTGCTACAAATCCTCATACGAATCCTTGAAATGACAAAAAAACACAACGGATTGACAACGACTTCGGGTTCGTCGATTACAGCCCAATTCAACGACCCAGCGTAAAAGACAACAACTGTAGAAGATTCAACCGATCAGGAAGCTTGAGGCTTTCGCTGCGTAAAATTACACCACGAATCATCGTCTCGATTTCCAAAATACCATCCGAAATGTACTCTGCAGTCGCTTAAAGACGACTAACCGAACAACTGGGCATAAACGAGAATTCTAGCTTTAACACTTTCACCAAACTACAGTAATGAACGGCGGCTAACAGTAAATATATCATAAAAGTTCAAATTATTGTGGGGCTGTTTCACGCAAGGTATACGAGCTAATACCAACGAAATATTATGAATCAATTCGACCTGATTACCTTTTCGCCGACGTTTCTTCTTTTTCTCCTTGCTAAATATTCTTAAAGAGCAGTAATAAGGCATTTCTAGCGTCGAATGGTTGGCGGAAAGGTCGCTTGCTTATTAGTGACTCGACATGCAGGATCGAGCAAACCACGAACAACAGTCGATAAATATGCTGGGGATTACTGAACAAAGTTACCACTGGGGGGAGGGGGGGTGGGAAAATACGATTCCTACTTTGTAGCGTTTTCTATGATCAGAGATTTATCCCTTCCACATGAGGATAATACAAAACTTACATTCACACATGAAAAATTATGATAAGCCTTGTTGAAGTGATCTAGAACACTTGAAAGCTGTGCAAAAAAGTATCTCTGAACACCCTCCCCCTAAGTAACGCTCTGAAGTCATTCAGATTCAAGTTTCACGTTGCCTATTTACGTAGCAAGACATTCAGCGAGAGATTATTTGCATTTACAAGCAGGAGTGTAATTTGTTTCGCTCGAGTAATTTGAATTCAGAAGCCGACTTTCTCTAGTTAGGAGACGGTCAATCCGAGACGAATTCGCAAATGTTACACATAACCGTGAAGAAAAGTTCATTCGTGAACGAACAGAAGGGCTACATTGACACGAAATGGAGCAGACCCGGAAGTCAAGAACAAAGCACAACTCTGCGCGCCTGTGTATCGTTGCGGAAACATAGGAATGTTGTTTGTTACTGCTAGATTTATTATGGGCCTAGAACCCGTTAATTGTCAAACGAGTCACTCGAAAAAAACATTATCCTTCATCGAACTTGCGAGAACGTCGAACAGCGCTCGAAGAATTTCTATACTTTGTCTCGAAGCTCGTAATTTACACTTCCACAATCACAAGACATTTGGGTGCGACTCGCAAAACACCCACGCAAAACTCACTTGACCTGAAGATCACGTGAACGAATTCGCTCGCGTTTTGCGCAATATTATACGTGCTGTAAAGTCGCCGTCAGTATACGGAAATACTTATGCGGAAACTGGTTGCCATCAAGTTCTGCTCTTCATCACGAAGCTGTTCAAAGTACAATATATTTTTTAAGAATTTAATCTCATTCCCTCCACGTTACTGAGGCTCTCATTTTGGCTTTTGCTGGTCCAAACATTTGCGCATTTTCTTTAAAACTCTCTTCATTTCCTTCATTTAATGGCACTTGATCAAAGTTTACCATTCCTTCACGTCCAGGTGTTAGCGCCCAATTTTTAAGTTTAATACCGGTTTTCGTGCTTTCTTCCGCGCCTGATTAAGCACATTGAATGGCTACCATGAGCCTGGAGCGAAAGCATGGAAATTAACCACTCGGAAGCGGCGTGTAAAGCCAAAAATTTGCATCGCGGAAAAAGAGCGAATTACTATTCACTTCAATTATGTTCGCTTAAGTTTCAATTGAAATGACCCCTCTGACGTAAGGCAAAGAGAGGTCGCCTTCTGCGTGCAAGCACACTTCCTACGGGTTTGACGTCACCGTGCATACGTGCAATATTTTCAAATATTTCCTGACTTGTTGGATAGTGACTCGTTATCTTTTGGGTTTCTTTAGCAAACGGCCACAAGACCAGTCAAAACCCTTAGCTCATGCAGCAATCCCGTGTATGCAGCGATATAAATAGACCGGTATGTAAAAAAGCGTTCGATTCCTTTTAGATTTGAAATTCTGTGATTTCAGCCCAGTCTAGAACGCCTTTGAAGAAAAAAAATGGAATCGAAAGAGCAACATTTCTGTTTGACAAACATAATCTGCTATCTCAAGATCTACAAAACTTTGTAGGAATGTCAAGTTCCTCCTCGACAAAAATTTGAAAAAATAATTTTGAGCGGACTGATTGAAAGATGAAATTTCCAGTGTGGTCGAAGTAACAAAACTTATATTTCGCTTCTCACCGCAAACGGGTTTTCATCTAATCGAAATAATTTCCTTATTTAGCATTCTACAATATCGGACACAGCCACTCGGATGTCCTAATCCTTCAATATGTGTCTTATTGGTAGCGGCGCGCGTGCGAGAATGCACGCCTTCGTACTTCGTGCCTCGAGAGGGCATCACTTCACGCGTCCGATCTAAACCGAACTCGCGCCTAAAGTCCCACTGCTGCTCACGCCAGAAAAAAAGCTTCTAAGTAAGTTTTTAAACCAAAACAAATAGGTCAGGGATTAGGCTATTCAATTATCGTCGCAAATCTGTACACTGAAATATGATTTGAAGAAGTACTACATAAAACTTTGCATGTTGTTTTGCGAATTGACACTGCAGTTGGAAGGATACGGAAGAAACCCGGCCGAAAAATGCCGAAGAATACCGAAGAAAATAACAAACAACCGAAGAAATAACAAAGAACCAAAGAAAGGCTTTCCGTATGGCGGCTTCTTCATACAATATGCTACACAGAATCTATGCATGATACGTGTTTTAAATAATTATCTGTTTTCTGGAAAACCCTTGGCTCATGGCTTTCCAAAACTTATTATTATTATTTCAAAAATAGATATCACCAAAGAGTGAGACTTACCACTTTGTGTAAGCAATCGGTGGATTTCTAAAAATGAAAAAAAAAAATTTAGTTAAAAAAAAATCAAATCAAATAAAGAATGAGATGACATGGAGTGAAGGCGGATTTGGAAACAATAGCTGCCGCAATCGGAGAAAAAGTTATTTGGTAGGATCCATTGAGCCATTTTATAAACAAATTTTCTGTAATCAAGTGAGATAGGGTCTCACCTTCCACGGGAAGATCATCCGGAAGGGAGAAGGAAGGGGAATCTGTAAGATACATGATAATTGACAAGTTAGTATCTAACTTTCATGCAGTGGGGTGAATGAAAACTATCATTACTTCACACGTTACAGCTAGAATCTTGAAAAGCGAGGATAGCATCGGAAGTTATCCGGAAAAAAAATCTAGATGAACGAAATACCTCAGCTGTAATCGAAAAGTTTTATTTATTATGATATTTTGCTTTTGTTGCATATAGCATTTGAAAAACACCTAACCCTTTCACATAAACTTTTCAATCCCAAGATCTGAGAGCCTAAAAGTCTTAACTAAACTTCATGGTTTCTCTGTTTGCTGGTTTTACTAGCTTAGACCATGGCTTTACACCATGACAGAAAATTCCCCTACTTAATAACGGTCTAGCTCTCACGGAATTATTTTACCTTTAAATTAAGAGATTTTTACCTTGCATAGCAAGAAGATTAAACATCTCATCACTTGATGGATCGTAACATCCTGTAAAAATGCAGACAAGAATAACAAAGATTAACTTTCCATTTTTCCTCTCCTGTCTAGGGTATACCAGATTATCCTTTGGTTAATTAACACCGAACAATGTATACTTCTGAGAGTGAACTTGAAGCTGGGGGACTGAGATAGGGGAGTGGTGTACCCATGTACACTATCAGTAGAAACCTTTGGCAGATAACAGGGCTTTGATTTTTTCAGTAACTCATGAAGGAAATCATTGTTTCTATTTCATTTTGTTTCTATCAAAGGAGGAATCGTTCTTTTGTTTACTTTTCTGAAACCCTTACCACATGAAGCTAGAAGAGCTTGAATGAACTAACAGAGGCCGAGACCCTTCATATTCAACCCCAATCAGGCACATCCCGCAAAAGTTTATATTGAACCCTCCCTGGGGAAATCTTCAAGACTTAAACTAAATATGTTACTTACCTCCATAGGAGGTACTGGAACCTGCAAAGGGACAAAAAAGTTTTAACCTTTTTTTATAGGAAAAGCAATCTACCCTAGACATCATACACAGCTAGCCTGTAATGATTCTTGTACTATCTTGTAAGGTCCTCAATGGCCTGCCCAACTGACAGCTTCTTTTCTTTAACCCTTTAATTCCCATGAGTGACCAAGACAGAATTTCTCCTTACAATATCAATACAGTATCAATCAGATAAGTGATGAGAATAAAGAAAGATATCAATTTGGGGATAATAAGTTGATTCAATACTGAATTCTCTGAACTAACATCATGAGAATTGTATGGTTGATGGTAAGGAGAAGTACAAATTTGATCTGGGAGTTAAAGAGTTGTTTTCGTTGTTTTTTTCTTCTTCCTATATCTTCTTTGATTATTTCCTTCTGAATGCTTTTCTCTAATTCCTCTTCCTTTCATAAATCCATTCATTTATTTATTTATTTATTCATTCATTCCCTCTTTCTTTTTTTCTCTATTCCTTCGCTCTTGTTATTCTCTCCTTCAAACTTTCTTTTCTATTTCCTAATTCACTTTTTAAACTGTTTATTTACTCTCTTTCTTCTTGTTCTCTTATTCCTGTTTGCATCTTTTCTTTCAGCAACGTTTGCTTGCTCCACTGATGGTTCACGAACTCAGTTGAAAACAAGTTATTTTCAAATGTTTTGATAATGTTAAATTTGTTGTTTATATTGATACAAATATAGCACTTACTTTCCCATTGGGAACTACTCGCGATCTGCGTGAGGGCTTCGTACAGGAGTCCTCCATATTCTGAACGTTTTTTCAAATCATCTGCTGTTGAACACCACAGCTCTGGCCCAGTCAGGTCCAACTTATCCAGGTCATACTCCCCAGTGATATTATTAGACTTCCAGACCGACTTCAGAAAACTTTCTAACTGAGCCGCTGTCCATGTGTATGGTGGGTAGTTGGACCAATCTTCTGAAAAAGAAAAATACATATCAGTACCGAGGGCACCAGGTTGCGAGTTGAACACTTGGGACACATCTAGACTGAGAAGAAAAAAGCATTCCAACAGATAATTAAGTTGAATGCGGGGTTAGAAGAAAATAGAAACAGCAGCAAATTCAGGGTCCTGGGAGAGGGCGAGGGGGGAGAAGGGTTGCGAAACTCCTTCTCCCCCCCCCCCCCCAGCAGAACTTTGGGGGTTTGCTTAGGGTTAATATACAGGATCGCATGTTATAACAAAATGTGGCATATTTAAAATGAACTTGTCTCGAAATATTTCTTAGCTTCTAATTCACATGGGACTAAGTGCAAAATACTCTTTCTGTGTTTTCTAAATCTGCCCACCCGCCTCCCCCCCACCTAATCAAAAATTCCAGGATCCACCCCTGATGAGCAGTTTACTACAATCTTTTAGTAATTAGGTATACCTTTCTGACTGGGTGTCTTGTTATGAGAAAGTGGCTGAACAGTAAAAAAAAAGGTATAGAAAGATGTATATAGAACAGATGGATGGATGGATGGATGGATTGGTAAATGATCACGCTGGAAAGGAAAGGGAAAGAAAGGGGGTGAAATGAAAGTAACACTGAAGAAAAGGAAGAAAAAGGGACGACAGGAAAAAGAAGGAAAGAATCCAAAAGGTGGTTAATGTTCTGAGAAGTAATGAGCGCAGGTCACAAAGCACATTCAAAAGCGTTTTCTGGATGTCAATGAAGTTCCAACAAAGATCACAACAGGCTTAGAAAAACTGAACAAGCACCAAAAATGAAAAGTTCTAGAAATCAAGGTTGATATTTCAGCAAAGGAGCCCAAAGAAGAAATCGTTTAGGATTCCAAGCCTAATTTAAGTTGTTCAGCGCATGAATGCAGTTTAACAGGAAATTATTTCGGAGGAGCTTCGCCAATCCAAGAAGGCACAATATATTTATCCTCATATACCTCAGAAAAAGTTTGGCAAATTATTACGAAAGAAAGCATGGAACCAGTTTCGAATCAAAAGCTATGCTGAGCATGATAATATCCAGAAGGATAATGTGGGAAGTACAGAAATCAAGGAGAAAGAGGCATTTTTGACCGAGCGCTTCTCTTCCAAAGGCAAGCCTTATAACCCCGACGGAGAAGTAACAAAGCGCGAGTGAGCAAATTACTGCTGTAGTTTTGGTATCAACTGGAACACAGCTAAAGAAGATCCGCCTCCAGCAACTTCAAGCGATTGACCACATCGATGAGCGAACAGGTAACGTGAAAAAAACTATCGGAGTTTGACATTACACCGAAGTTAGATGTGGATTGATAAAGGTCGCCCTAAGCGTTCAAGTTATTTCTGCCGCCTAAGTTTGTCATTAGAATTCGAAAAAATTAAAAACTGTGACTCAAGTATGCAGTTTAAAGAGAAAACTTGAGAGAAATGACCCATCTCAAGGCAATTGTAAAGCCAATAAATCACAGATTTAAACGAAAAAAAAAGGCCCTTGGCCGAAGACATATGAAGCAAAGAGCTACTTGAACGATTGTCCGGAAAGGGCCAATTTGAACAGAACTGAGCTGTGGCCAATTTATGTCCCCTGAAAAAAGAACAAGTTAAACACGCCTATCGAGACATTTTTGTTTACTTGCCGAAGGCAAAAATCGACTCATGAAATCTTCGCGGGAAGATCTTGAGCCTTTTTTCCGAATTTCGAAATGCTTAATCTTAACATATTAAAGGCTCCAAGAGCATTTCTTTTTTTAAACTAAGGACGCGATTATGTGCCCAATTTTCGAAGATTAAGATGGTTTCCCAGCTAAATTCAACAAATATTAAAATTTCAGCCTTGCATGATGAAATCTTGTGCACTTATCTGTCCTTGAAATCTTTCGCTAGGCCGCATTTGGTAAATTTAATTTCGCTAAACCAGCCTTATAACAATAGCTTCTGAGAAAATGATCATAAAACTCTTTGCTATCGTCTCAACACGATCTACCCTAAATGATTTAGAGTTCCCATGATGTTTCTGTCTTGGAAACGTTGCTATCTTGAATCAAGATCACTTGTCATAAACACGGTTTTGTTCTCAAAAAAAGAACTGAAAGATATATTTCGTTCCAGTAGAATGACCCGTGACCCGTACGGCTGCATATAGAACGCCTTAACGGAGAGATCATGTGAAACCAAACAAAACCCGAAAGTGTAATTTTCCGTGTTTGTGGGGAAGCTGTTGTAATCGGCCTTCCTTGAATTTTCTAAAGTAATTTTTTAACAATGTCTTTATTGATGCTAAAATTATGTTGAAAGCATCAAGTCGCGTCACAGTGGATGTCGCGTGATTCCGTTCGTAAAGCCTCGTTACTTCATAATCTTAGACACTACTTTCTTAAAAAAGCATTTAAAAGGCACGCAAAGAGCTTACCTGTAAAATAAAATAGCCTTTAAAGTAGGATCGACATGTATCAGATCGCAAAATAGAGCTATCTGTGTTCCCGGTTTAAACCTTAGAAACGAAACGAAGACGGAGCTGTTAAACCCGACTTCGACAGAGTCGAGAGGTGATTGATGAATTTAGACTTTCTCAAAATGGGAATCTTAAGCGGAATTTCAAAACACGAAGGTATCAAGCAGCAAAGGAAACTTGCTTACCTTAAAATTATTTCCGATTACCCAAACTATCTTTCAAATACACAAGACCAAACAACTTGCGTAGCTTCAGTTTCTGGTGACAAGACAACTTCGACCGGAAGTTTTAGACCGTTGGAGCGTAAGACAGGGACTAAATGCAAAGAATCGACGAAAATACACATCTTCGTCAAGCGAAAAAACATCTCGTTATTCAGTGATGGGAAGGAACGAATTCAGGGCATCAGAATGAAGCTGTATTTACTGGATACTTTACGCTTGTCTTGAAAGCCTGCAGATTTCGAGTTCGCCGTTGTAAACAGGAAGAACATTCCACAAACGCTTTTGCGACAAACAATAGGCTTGAATTATGGGTACAATCTGGTCGGCCAATCAAATTGCTTCAGACGTGAGCCGACAGAAGGGTGTTTTCGTCCATAGTGTCTATGACGTGTTAACTTTGTAAGTATTTTTAACATAGCTGGTTAAATTACTCCAAAAATATTGGGCACTACACTGCTTAGTTTGAACGCAAACATGAAAACAAATGAATTCAATTCCGGAAAGAAACAAAGATGTGTAATTGCGTTGATCGGGACACCTGCAATCGATGCAAATTTCATAACAACACAGTAGAAAAAAAAAATGTAACAAACGTTATCCATCTTATGCGATTCAGACAGTCCCTCTTGTATATTAAAAAAAAACACGTGAAATGAAGCGGAGTACTCAAGGAAACTTTTGGAGAACCAATTTCAAATATATTTAAGAGAACTTTGAAGTGGGAAGGGGTTATGAAACTGAAAGGGCATTGCTCCAACTATGCTTAAACAGGTGCACGATAAGCGGTAGCACCGATGCCAAAGTCTTCAATCTACTGTAGCCGTGGTTTGAGTCCATCTCTGGATTGGAAATACAGGCAACATGTCCAAAATTGACCGATATTTCCTCAGTCTATCTTTTGCCCACATTGTGTTGCAAGAGGAAAATCAATTTTCGGACGCTTGGAATTGTTTAACCACAGTAAGAATTACAGCCTGGAATTAGCTTGCGCCGCAGATTTGGAAATGCATCATGAGATGATGATGAATGAACTTGGGTGAAGAACAACGGATGAGACTGATAACTGGACATGCATCGAGCTAATTTGCTGTTAGAGATCGTAAATGAACGTCAAATTTCTCATAAAAAAGATCAACATACCGATTCCGACTCGACCAGGAAACAGTGCACAAAGGGATACCTCATGGATGCAACACAATTATAAAAAGAGGAGCCAACCCTTAAATGCACTATTGCTACCATTCAATGTATTAATTATATGAAATTACGTACCTGTAGGTCCCAAACACTCCATTAAACCAGGAGTTGTATGCTGGTCTAAGTCCAGGCAGTTGTTTCCTGGAGAAGGAAGAGCCTCGTCCATCCTTGGGGACGCACTCTCATCTGACGAGTAACCAGACTCATTCAGGCTGGAGCAGCTCTTCCACGAGGTTAAACTGTCACTTCTGCTTTTGCTCTCTTCCCCATCTAACTGCATGGGTTGAGCATCCATGTTCGGGACAACCTGGGTACCATCCAGATTTAAGTAGTCCTCAAAGTTGAACGGAAATCCACATCCAGGAACTTCGTCATCACAAGTCATCATTTTGGATGCTTCAAATAGTTCACGGTCTGAAAATGTCTAGAAGAAGAAACAAGTCGAAACTTGTAACAAATGGGCAGCCCTGGATCAACTGAGTACTTTTAGTGCAAACTACCAATGCTTTTTACAAACTTCTATTTTTTTTTGGTTTAAAACTTGGCCAGTCATTCTCAGATTGGGTTAACATCCAAATGTTCCCTTTGCGACAATGATTTTTGGAAGGTCTTTTCAAACCATATTAGCAGTGATGATATTATTATCATTATCATTACTACGACCATAAATACCATTAATAACATGATCATGTTTTATTGTCAAGAATTCGTAAATAACAGATAATTTGCCCAATCGCCTATGAAAAAATCATACGGCTCACCTATGGCTTAAAGTTTGAAACTGGCACATTACGATTTTTAAGCATTTTTTCAGAAGATATCCTACATATCAAAAACATGCAGATCTAGCGAATCAAAAACAAAATTATATAGTTACAAAGAAGTCATGCCAACGATGAATTTAGGTGTAATTGATCAAAACACCTGTAGAAGCCATGAGTGCAGAATACTCTCTAACATGTTACAGCATAATAACGTGTGTAGATTTTTGTTGCAAGCTTCTATCTAATGATCAATGAGAAAACTCAGAAAAAGTTTTAGGCAAGGCCAGAAAAGATCGATACTGTATTTCTTTTAAATGCTGCCTAATTTTTATGGATTATATGTACTGAAGTTAAAGTTTTTGTTTGATGAGTGCGTATTTTGGGCAAAATTTGGCCCCACAATCATTGATACGTTTATTTTGCAAATATACTCCCCTTTTATGTCCCCTTTTATCTCTAGAAGCTCTGGAAAATTTAACTCGAGGATGTTTCTTAGTAATATTTGTGTTTGAAAATGAAATAAACGAAATCATCAAAATATCCAAGACGCTGAAACATTTTCATGATAAAACAAACTGATATAAGCTATGGAATCATTTACCAGAAGGCCACTTTTCAGACCATCTATACTTTTTGTCCTTTAACTATTTCTATTTATACAGTCTATCACAGACCCACAAAGTATGTCATTATTAGGCACTTAACAAAAAATATTAGTCCCACGACTTTCAAGCCAATATTATTTAACGAATCAGGTCCCCAATGTTTACTATTGTTTGGGATACCCAAAGATAGATCAAAGTTCCCGCAAAATAGTTTTCCTTAAAATTTACCTCACCTCTTTAACTAGTTTCCGTTAGGTTTTGTATCAGAAAGACTGCGATCACGAGATCTGAGTGAAGAAATCGAGCTCCTAAGGTGTCTTTGGAAACGCTTACAGATTTGATCACTGAATAAAAACACTGTGTCAGAGAAAATTGAGTGGAGTCACGCACAACTTAATGTTTTGACAGAAATGCATCATGTAATATACAGGCAGCGATCGATCTTTTCACCACCGACATGGGCAATACTTTTACTGTTTAGACTTTAAGAAAATCAGAACCATTGGAAACACAACTGAAAAATATTGTTGGTTAGTACTATAGAACTTTAGTAACCGGAGCGCCACGGAGAGAGCGGAGTTCTAGTTTACTTATAGGATTTGGCACTTTTACGACACAATACCCATTACATTTCCGCAAGCTAGATAAAGTATTTCCATCGGTAAGAAAGAGTGTTGATGATTTTGCAAATTTCTTCTGAGATTTTATGCTCAAATATTTTCAAGGGTTCATCTGGTATCGATGACTATGTTCAAGATTTTAAGAAACGTTAAACACTGTTGAAGCACAATTTGGATACAGATTTTTGTCGAACCCAATCAAGAGAGCGAGACATACCTTCAAAGAAAAAAAGGTTTGTCGAGCAACTCATCATGGAAACAGTTTCTCAATTAGCTAAACACAGTGTACTGTTTCGCCTCGAGGTTGCAAGTACTCGTGTACATTCATCTACACGCTGAAACTGACACCATCGTTGAAACACGCACACTACGGTTAAATTTTACCGCGAATATTTTTGCGATAAAAATTGCAGGTAGCATGCCTACAAGCTGTACCTACTCGATTCATAGAGTAAAGAATGATATTTCACCCACCTCCATCTAGCCTTTGGCAAACAAATTGTGCCACAAAACGTCGGTGTCTGAAAACTATAAACAACCTCCTTAATACAACGCTGATCGAAAAATTAAAAGATGGCGCTTGCATCTGTTGCAGAGGTCTAGCTGTATCGATTTTCCAACGTGGACTGACAAAAATGGTTGACTCCTCTTCTCGTTTGGAAATACTCTTTCACAAGTTTTACAAAGTAGTCAAATGTTTACGACGTTGCCTGCTGATTTCACAAGACGAAATGTCTGAGGACAATCGTAGAATTAAAACAGCTGAAACATCTGATCTCAAATCTACCAAACAAACTTGCTAACGTTGTAATTTTTTCATCGTGTTCACCTTAAGAGTTGTTAAGATTCGTGGCGTTGAGGACTGTACAGGCAATTAGCGAGGAGCAGACGGTATATTAAAATATGTTACCTAGACTATGGATAAAAACAAATGTCTTTGTGCATTTTATTAAAATTCAACCCCTCTCCTTGCTTTTGTTATGGTGTCTGAATGAGAACAATACGAAATGTCACGCGATGGACGTAAGTTACATTTTTTATGTTTGACATAGGTTTAAATGTCATTTCAGATATATCTAGATCCTTTATTTACAGTTAATTACAAAGCAAAGGACTTAGTGTAGAGCAAAGGAAAATAAGGAGATTCATGTTAAATTCAGATGATACAGAAAAGTTAAAAAGTCTATAAATAGATCACCGAGTCAATATACTTATTATGCGTGACGTAATTGAGAATTTCAATGAATTCAAATCTATTCGATTAGATATCAACAAAAACAGAAAGCTTTTTATCACCTTAAGAGTGTGTCAGGGATCTATCGGCAAAAATGTGACTTTGTATAATAGATAATTTTTTCATTTCAATCAGTTTTACACGAAGTTAGCACAACTTTATTCGATACTGCAGTCATGCTGAAAATATTTCGCTTTCCAGTCTTATGCAGACCGGTTTAAAGCTGTATTTGAAGGATTCCACAGCAATGTTTGTATCGAAAATTCTAAGGAAGGATATGTGTTCTAACTAAAAGCATAATTTAATTTCTACAAAATTATCACAATTTTCAAAACTTACGTCCGGACTAGAAGAAAACATGACTTCTGAATGCACGTTTTTGAATTTTCTCACACCTGAAAACATAGTGATTACATTGTGTTACGGATGTCGCGAATAATCAACATGATGTTTGTGATGATCGTGAGCACTTTGTGTAGGCGATATCCATTCTTAGTTCTTCACTCTTTTATGAACTGGCATGATATCCCGACTAAGCGCGCGTCAAAACAAACTGACATCACTTTAAGAACATTAAATATACTTCATTAGGTACACGAACGTCGACTAAAACCGCATCTGGTTTAAAACTGTGAACCTGTCTGTAAGAAACTGAAGTGTTACCTTTATAAGAATGTGCAAAGTATTGCTGCTCCTTAGGGTTTGACAGAGTCGAAGGTGTATCGTTCAATTCTCTTCGGCCAAGGTTTTGTGCCTGTGCAAGTTTTTGATCTTAAACTGATCTTATTTACTCTCGCTGGTTCGTTTTAGCTCGTTTAATACGTGATCATAAAAGGGTTTTCCCAGACGGCTCTCCTATTGGTCGATGAGCAGCGCGTATGAGTAATTACAAATTTGATTGGCTCCCCTATGAGCATCCGGAATAGTTTGGCGGGCGGTACTCGACGATTTGATTGACTGCAACATCCGGTTTATTCAATGTGAGTGCTTGTTTTTACTGTCTAGTAATCGGTTTTGACCCATTCACCCCGTGTAAGCAGCACCGGTAGTTTATTTATATCAACTTTATTTTTTGTGACTCCAAGTATTTCTTTCAGGCATTCAGCAAACTGCATGTAAAACAGCTGCAAGATAATCCTCATATTACTATGATTCCAAGAAAATGTGTTTGCATTTCATCATAAATCGACTGAAAACTATCAGACGTGACACTACTACATTAGACAAGTTATTTATTTCACCGTGGGTTAATTATATATTCTGCTTTCGCATATTTTTGTCTACCGCCGAGTGCGCTCTGTATCCAGAAATAAACAAGATTACAAATCATTAAACCATGCATAAGTTCTTTGAGTAACATTCAGTCACGTAATCCCTACTGGTTGCTACGGTTTCACATCAACATTTGAGTCGAAATAACAAAACTGGAATTTCGCTCCGCATCATATTTTTCGCCAAAGCAGCATGATATATTCTGTTTGCAATTGTTCTTTGGAAAAATATCAGCTTTCTCATTTACAGATGAAAGCGTCGCTATTTTTTATTCGTATTTTTTTCTAGAGATAATATTGCTCGTGAGACATGAACCACATTTAGCACGTAAATGACGCACCTGCCAAACGAACCACTAATCACACAAAGCATAAATTCGTGATGTCTGCGGCCTACGAGGTGAGGCACATAGCAGGAAAAAACTGAATTGTCGCTTAGTTTCCGTACGTGACCAGTGGTATAGATTATTTTAGTCACAGTCGGGTATGCCGACAGGAAGCGTAAAATATCACGTAAAATAATAAAAAAATAAAACTTGTTTCACAGTAAAAGAGAATCACTAATAAAAATTTGACAAAAATATTTCGATGTCCCCCAAAAAATTAAACAGGCCAATTAATTGAGAATGATAAAATTGAATTTTTCAGCAACGTGGAAGGCAATTTTTTTTTCAATTTTTAGAGGAATTTTTAATCTTCCATAGAATTTAGCTTAAATGTTTTCTTGGCTCGAAAGTGATGTAAACCAAAATAGCTTTTTCCAAACAAGTGAAACTTTGTTTATTTCCAAGTTTCGAAACTGGTTTCAGAAGTCGAGATATTTGCATAGCTTGCAAAGGTTTTGCAGTGTTCTGCAAAATTAAAACAGAAATAGTTTTCCGGAATCAAAATAGATGTTAAATTTATTTGGAATTTAAGTTTTATGGGAAA